AAAACAGGTGACAGGTCCTTAGCTTCGAACTATAGACCAATAAGCCTAACCTCCATAGTGGGAAAATTTATGGAATCAATAATTGCCGAGGCAGTTCGTAGCCACCTTGAAAAGCATAAATTAATCAACGAATCTCAGCATGGTTTTACAAAGGGACGTTCCTGCCTTACGAATTTATTAACTTTTTTCACTAAGGTATTTGAGGAGGTAGATCATGGTAACGAATATGATATTGTGTATATGGACTTCAGTAAGGCTTTTGACAGGGTCCCACATCAGAGACTATTGAGGAAAATTAAAGCACATGGAATAGGAGGAGAAATTTTTTCCTGGATAGAGGCATGGTTGACAAATAGGCAGCAGAGAGTTTGCATAAATGGGGAGAAATCAGAGTGGGGAAGCGTCACGAGCGGTGTTCCACAGGGGTCAGTGTTGGGCCCCCTGCTGTTCACAATCTACATAAACGACATAGATGAGGGCATAAAGAGCGACATCGGCAAGTTTGCCGATGACACCAAAATAGGCCGTCGAATTCATTCTGACGAGGACATTCGAGCACTCCAGGAAGATTTGAATAGACTGATGCAGTGGTCGGAGAAGTGGCAGATGCAGTTTAATATAGACAAATGCAAAGTTCTAAATGTTGGACAGGACAATAACCATGCCACATATAAACTAAATAATGTAGATCTTAATATTACGGATTGCGAAAAAGATTTAGGAGTTCTGGTTAGCAGTAATCTGAAACCAAGACAACAGTGCATAAGTGTTCGCAATAAAGCTAATAGAATCCTTGGCTTCATATCAAGAAGCATAAATAATAGGAGTCCTCAGGTTGTTCTTCAACTCTATACATCCTTGGTTAGGCCTCATTTAGATTATGCTGCACAGTTTTGGTCACCGTATTACAGAATGGATATAAATTCTCTGGAAAATGTACAAAGGAGGATGACAAAGATGATCCCATGTATCAGAAACCTTCCCTATGAGGATAGACTAAGGGCCCTGAAACTGCACTCTCTAGAAAGACGTAGAATTAGGGGGGATATGATTGAGGTTTATAAGTGGAAGACAGGAATAAATAAAGGGGATGTAAATAGTGTGCTGATAATATCTAGCCTAGACAGGACTCGCAGCAATGGTTTTAAGTTGGAAAAATTCAGATTCAGGAGGGATATAGGAAAGTACTGGTTTGGTAATAGAGTTGTGGATGAGTGGAACAAACTCCCAAGTACCGTTATAGAGGCCAGAACGTTGTGTAGCTTTAAAAATAGGTTGGATAAATACATGAGTAGATGTGGGTGGGTGTGAGTTAGACCTGATAGCTTGTGCTAACGGGTCGGTTGCCGTGTTCCTCCCTTGAGTCAATGTGACCTGACCTGACTAGGTTGGGTGCATTGGCTTAAGCCGGTAGGGACTTGGACCTGCCTCGCATGGGCCAGTAGGCCTTCTGCAGTGTTCCTTCGTTCTTATGTTCTTATGTTCTTAAGACCATGACACAATACTAGCATCAATCAACACCATGTAGACGCACTCGCGTCAATCAATACCATGACTGCACTCACGCTTCACGTCAATTAATACCATGACTGCATTCGCGTCAATTAATACCATGACTGTGTACTCGCGTCAATACCATGACTGTGTACTCGCGTCAATACCATGACTGTGTACTCGCGTCAATTAACACCATCAAAGGTATTAGATTATTATTATAATCAAAAAGAAGCGCTAAGCCATACAAAGGTGTTAGAGATATCAAGCTAGCGAATCTGCTTGCTAGGAAATAACTAGACTGTTACTGCAATATTGTTAAACATAGTAAGCAATGTTAAACAAATGGTTGCCCTTCTCTCCTATCCTACGTTTGCCTCTAGCCTACTTGCTTGGCTTGTGTTTGTGAAGCAATGATGCAAATAAAGTGATTGAAATAGAGTAACAAATTGTGGAAACAAGCAACTTTGGTACCTTGACAGTTGTGGCAATAATTTTTTCTTAGAATATACAATCTATTTAAATACTCCCAATCAGAACTTTGCTTAATATCAATTGCCACTAGCAGGAAATTTGTACATGCACTGAAAGCAGTAGCGTATATACAAGTGTATTTCTTAGTATTTATACTCGTAATAGTTTACTGTATTCCTTATGTTATGGGTTAAAATAGCCTTGACTGATTTTGTACAGATAACTAGCAGTTAACAATCATTGCGTAGTTGATAGACTTTAAACCTGATTATTCTCATTACGTTCATGGAGAGTGTGTTAATATGTAGGGTGTCACTAAGCACCTAGGAAATGGAAGGTATCAGATTCAGTCCAAAGGAAGGTAGCTCAAATTCTTTGACTCGAGAGCCCTTCACTTATATCAAGGAACCTACCATGAAGAGCTTAATTCCAATAAACTAATGAACCAACTTGGGGATGCTGAGAGTTGTTGTCATTAGTAACATCAACATGAATGAGGTGGGCAGTCACCACTTTACACTCCTGTGGCCCGGTGGCCTGGTGGCTAAAGCTCCCGCTTCACACACGGAGGGCCCGGGTTCGATTCCCGGCGGGTGGAAACATTTCGACACGTTTCCTTACACCCGTTGTCCTGTTCACCTAGCAGCAAATAGGTACCTGGGTGTTAGTCGACTGGTGTGGGTCGCATCCTGGGGGGCAAGATTTGAGGACCCCAATGGAAATAAGTTAGTCCTCGATGACGCACTGACTTTCTTGGGTTATCCTGGGTGGCTAACCCCCCCGGGGTTAAAAATCCGAACGAAATCTTATCTTATCCTGCTGGACGCTGTGGAATAAGGTTTGTCCTCCACAACCTCGTTGTTTGGGAGTGTGAAGTGATCGGGGAGTGCCATTTAATTTCTAGGATGTAACTTTTATCAGTCTCTATGCAATCTGCTAGACTTCATAATTTTTTTAAGTGCTGAACGTTAGCTATGGTACTAACACTTTGTTTAATGGTGCTCCGCTTAGCATCCATCGGTTAACTCGTGTTATCTAGAGAATGCTAAACCAGAACGAAGACCCCTGGGCCCATTTGCTAAATCCCGGAGCCATTATTTGGATTAGTATCCCCGTAGGGTTGTTAACCCAGGATAAAACTAGAAAGTTAAGCAGCGTGGCTTATTCCCACTTGGGTTCTTTCGTTATCCCCAGGATGCGGCCTATTTTTATCTCCTCAGTATCTATTTACTGTTAGGTAACAGGGGGCTGTGTTACGAGTCTTGCCTATACGTCTCTCCTCGTCCACGTCAGGCTGGTTAATTGGGTTCAAAGCCTGTCGACTATATACATATTAAGGCTACATATACCTTATCCATTACCGGACAAGATACTTAATTCCTAAAACACGAATTAAATTCTACGTACAGAAGACACCTTTCAGTTTGTACATCCGGAACTCGCCCATGATTCAACCAGGGTACTTTTAGTTGCGACCCTAACTACTTTTTTCATTGTTACGCACCAGTGAGTGTTGCTTTAACAGCGCTTTCGGCAAACTACATAAAAAACGCTGTGGACCACATTAAATTTTTTTTTTAGAAAAATAAATAACATTAATTAGTTTATAAAATGGCCAGAAATAGGTTTAGTGCAAAAAGTTGCAGGGAACCAGGATGGGCGATTATGCAAATCAGTTTCATGGGAAATAACCGCAACGATGATACTTAACATACGGGAAATTCCATCCATAGGCTTGTTTAAATATGAGAAGTATTGCATAATCCTTACTTGCTTAGCGTTTCCTCATGATAATAATGGGAATTTCTCCTGAAACCAGCCACGAGTGATTTAGTAAAGTGCTTGGATTCAAAACAGGCCTAAGGATTATTATAACTGTATAAATAGGAAGGTGGAGAGCTCAACACCTCTCATACAGTCTTAAAGAGCAAAGTGAAAAGTATGCGGTTCCAGATCAAGGTTGTGAGTGCCTTTCTGGATGAAAGTAGGAATAGTCTGGCTGTTCTGGGAAGCCTGGCCTCTGGCCTGACTGCTAGGAATAACTCTTCCTTTAAAGAGGGGAAGGGCTCTTGATTCAAGGAATTGGAGATACCCTCCCCTTGGATTGAACCTGATTATCTCCAATTTCTTTTGTGTTGTATGGCCCTTACTTATTAAACGCTTCTCTGATACTACTAATAAGAATTACTCTCGAGACTTGCCAGATAATTCAGGAGTGCCTTATTCAATACATTTTTTATAAGTTTAAATTTATAAGTTTACAATGTTAATTATACATGCCTCTGGGATACAGCATTTCCATACCTAGTGTTAAGTACCAGTAACAAAACATTTACTGCCACTGTATTTTAGATCTATCACATCTTTGATGTGAAGATCCCTCGAGTGAGGGTTCTTGATTCTGGTGAGGGGGCTCTTGATTCAAGGAATTGCACCTGCCCTCCTCTTGGATGGAATCTGAATGAATCCTGTAGGTTTAGCGCTTCTCCATGAATGTAATAATTAGTTTTTTGAGTTTACCTAAAAATTATGTAAACTCGCCTTTACTAAGAAGTTATTCAATGGACACAGTTATATTTTGGGGCCTATGAGATAAGTTTAATTTGTAACTTAACCTAACGAACCCAACTTGCCCTAACCTGGAACAGAAGTTAAAATCCAGGTAATGTTATTTTGGTTAACGTTTATTTAACAAAAAACAAATGCTTTTACCCCACAGGCACAAAATATGTCAACTGCGTAGCCCACTTAATATTAGAGAATTTACATAATAAACACAAGGCCCTAAACTATTAGTTAGAATAATGAATTATAAAATCCAATTTAAACCGACATTCGTCCAGAGTTATTTGATACCTTTATTATGCACCCCATACCCATCCTGTAGGCAGTCAAATTATTAGAGGCATATAATGGGTCCAGGGACTGGCCTCTACCATAATTAAAAGTTCCAATACATTTGTGGGAAAAAGTATCCCATGACACGTGCGTCCTAGATAGAAACCCGTAACAATATTTTAAAATTTCCTTACTTTGCTCTCAAGCAGTGGTATCTAACCCATCCACAGCATGTCGACAATAATACAGAGATGGACAAATTAATTCACACGCTTCTCACGCCTTTCTGTGGTGCTGTAGTCCACTCTAACTATAACATCTATACTCCTCACTGACTATTTCAAGACTGACTGTCCTGTTGTGAATGAACTTCCACGTTCTCACGATGGTGACGTCATGATATCTTAGCCAATAGCGTTTACGTTACATGGTCGTCATCACCAATCTACCAATCAGGGTGTACCAAAACCATCACCCGTAGCCAATCATCCTGCGTGGGTGGGGCTAACATGCCAGCCCTAGCCTTCCTTCCAGGGCTATGTACACTGACAAGTGTAAATCTCTATGTATATATATTGAGTTTATTCGAATCCATATTATAAGGGTTGAAGCATTTTTGACGTTATTACAAAGGTAAACTGCAACCAAAATAACCCTGATGCAACCGATATTAAACCTTACAAACTAACATTCCTTTTACATTCTTCACATAGTTACTATGCTGATAGCGGGAGACTTTTTCTTAGTATTTATTGCACTAAATAATTATTAACGTTTCGGTGAAAAATGAGTCATAGTCATTCAGCCGCGATCATTCACTGTCTTGCCAGAAGTGCGCTGACATCACAACTTAGTTACCCTCCGACCGCTGTATTAAGTGCAGGTAGGAGGCCTGGTCACAGACCGGGCCGCGGGGGCGTTGGCCCCCGGAACTCTCTCCAGGTAAACTGACCATCCAATCTAAAAGACTCGAGCCCGGTTAAACGATTTCTCTGAATCCCTTCAAAAATTTTTACCTTGCTCGCGCTCGAACAGCACATCCATTTAAAAGCCACTTGTCTCCATTCCTAACACGCTCACACAAGCCTGCTGGATGCTCAAGTTTCTAAAACTGATCCACCGGGAGGCCTGGTCAAGGACTGGGCCACAGGGGGCGTTGACCCCCGGAGCACCCTCCAGGTAGATCCCCTTCCACCAACCGTTTCTTGGACGTCCCCTATCCCGTCTAACATCCACCCAAGATTTATACACTTTTTTTACACAGGGTTTGACAAGGTTAAGGATCCCTAGCTTTATTGACAGCTATTTACAGGTTAAGGATTCCTAACTTTATTGGCAAGCTAAGAGCTGTTACCTACATCAGCTCATTTGAAAGCATTTTTATTGTTATGAGACATACAAGTAGGAAACAGGATGAAGTTGGAGCCATCTGTGGGCCAGCATTTTCATTTGATCAACTGACTTTATCTCGTTGACATCATTATGCTGTACGAATGTGTTCCATACTCGAGTCATCCTATCCTTTTCCGTCTTCTCTTTATGCCCAGTGACCCCTCTGCATCCCTCTGAATTATACATTTGATGACCCCGCGTCGCTATTTAATTTATATGCTCCGAATTCTCTGCATATTCACACCACTCATTGCCCTCAAACATAGTCTCCCTCGCCTCTAGCCTCCTCCTGGTTGTGACATTCTACACTCGTGCCTCACACCCATGTGAGCCTGTACTCTAGTGCAGTCTCCTTTTTTATTTCATATATAAACTTATTTCTTTTCATATATGCCTCAATTACACCACCTACTTTTCCCCCCTTTGTCCGTTTTATGGTTTACCATCTGCTGACATGTCTACCCCCAAAAGTCAAAATATATCCACTTCCTCCATACTCCCTCCTACCAATCTGATATTCATTCTATCATTGTCTAGACTTCTTACTCTCATCACTTTGCTCTTCTCTATGTTGACTTTTAATTTCCTTCATTTACATATCCTCCCAAATTCGTCCACCAACATTTGCAACTTGTCCTCAGGATATCCCCCTCCCCCCTAAAAAAAAATCGTCAGCAAAGAACAGCTATCATTATTTCCATTTTGTTAGATACATTCTTTTTTAATTCCGCACCTCTACCCAATACCCTACCGTTCACTTCTTTAACCCCATCTGTAAATGTTAAACAACCATGGTGACATTACGTATGCCTATTTAAGTCCTATTTTTACTGGGAAATGGTTCCCACCTTCCTCCTCCATACCCTAACGTGAGCCTCATTCTCTGTATAAGCCTGGAGTCTACCTGGAGGTTATTCCGGGGATCAACGCCCCCGCGGCTCGGTCCACGACCAGGCCTCCCGATGGATCAGGGCCTGATCAACCAGGCTGTTACTGCTTCCCGCACGCAGTCCAACGTACGAGCCACAGCCCGGCTGATCCGGCACTGACTTTAGGTATCTGTCCAGCTCTCTCTTGAAGGCAGCCAGGGGTTTATTGGCAATTAGCCTAATGCTTGATGGGAGGCTGTTGAACAGTCTTGGGCCCCGGACACTTATGATGTTTTCCCTTAGTGTACCAATGGCGCCTCTACTTTTAATTGGGGGCATTTCGCATCGCCTGCCCAGTCTTTTACTTTCGTAGGGAGTGATTTGTGTGCGCAGATTTGGGACCATTCCTTCCAGGATTTTCCAAGTGTAGATTATGATATATCTCTCCCTCCAGCGTTTCAACGAGTACAAGTCAAGTGCTTCCAAGCGTTCCCAGTAGTTAAGGTGCTTGACAGAACTTATACGTGCAGTAAAGGATCTCTGTACACTCTCTAGATCTGCGATTTCACCTGCTTTGAATGGATATGTTAATGTACAGCAGTATTCCAGCCTAGAGAGAACAAGCGATTTGAAAAGGATCATCATTGGCTTGGCATCTCTGTTCTAGTTATTATCCCCTCCAGTTTTCCATAACGGAGTAGTTGGAATTTGTCCTCATTTAACATTATATTGCTTTACGTTGCCCACTGGAAAACTTTGTTTATATCTTCTTGGAGGTTAACCGTGTCCTCAATAGATGACAGCCTCATGCAGATCCTAGTATCATCTGCAAAGGATGATACGGTGCTGTAGGTTACATCTCTGTCTGTCTGATATGAGGATGAGGAACAGAATGGGGACGAGTCCTGTGCCTTGTGGAACAGAGCTCTTCACTATGGCAGCCTCCGATTTAACTCTGTTGACCACTACTCTTTGTGTTCGATTGGTTAGGAAGTTGAAGATCCATCTCCCCACTTTGCCAGTTATTTTGTGCGCTATTACGCCATGATCGCACTTGTCAAACGCTTTTGCAAAGTCTGTGTATATTACATCTGCATTCTGATTTTCTTCCAGTGCATCCAAGGCCATATCATAATGATCCAGTAGTTGTGAGAGGCAGGAGCGACCTGCCCTGAACCCATGTTGCCCTGGACTATGCAGATTTTGGGAATCCAGGTGGTTTGCAATCCTGCTTCTTAGCATTCTTTCAAAGATTTTTATGATGTGGGACGTTAGAGCTATTGGTGTATAGTTCTTAGCTAATGCTATGCTGCCACCTTTATGGAATGGGGCTATATCCGTTGTTTTAAGTGATTGTGGAATTTCATCCATGTCCAAGCTCCTCCTCTAGTGTACTTAGGGCACGTGAGAGGTTTTTTTTGCAGTTCTTAATGAACACAGAGTTCCACGAGTCTGGGCCTGGGGCTGAGTGCATGGGCATGTTGTCAATGGCTTTTTCAAAGTCTATCGGAGTTAGGGTAATGTCGGAAATCTGGCATACATTTATGGAGTTTTGAGGCTCATTCATGAAGAAATCATTTGGGTCGTCGATCCTCAGACTGATTAGTGGCTTAATAAACACAGAGTCGTACTGGGATTTCAGTATTTCACCCATTTCCTTGTTGTCATCTGTGTAAGTCCCATCCTTTCTGAGTAAGGGCCCGATACTAGATGTGGTATTTGCCTTGTTTTTGGCATATGAAAAGAAACATTTCGAATTTCTTTCAATTTCACTAATAGCTTTAAGCTCCTCCTGTCTCTCCTGGTTCCTGTAAGAGTCCTTTAACTTAAGTTCGATAGTTTCCACTTCCCTGGTCAGCACCTCCTTCCGTTTGTCAGATATTCTAGTGTTCCTGAGGAGCTCAGTGATTCTTCGTCGTCTTCTGTAGAGGGAGCGTCTTTCTCCAGTTTACTCCTGCTCTTCTTCTTTCTTAGGGGAATATGCATAGAACATGCTTCAGCTGCCAGGAAGTTGATCCTTTCAAGGCACTGGTTTGGATCCATGTTATTTAAGACATCTTCCCAACATGTTTCATTCAAGACATGGTTTACCTGGTCCCAGTTGATGTTCTTGTTGTTGAAGTTGCATTTTGTGAAGACACCTTCACAAGTATATGCATTTTGCTGATCAGGACCCCTGTACATGTAAGTCTGGACTTTGACTAGATTGTGATTGGAATTAGTTGTTTTTGATAGTTATGTCAATTACCAGGTCCTCATTATTTGTGAAGATAAGGTCATGTGTGTTTTCTAGTCTTGTTGGCTCCACAATCTGCTGGCTTAAGGTGTGTTTATCGCAGAGACTTGGTAGCTCATGTGTGTGTGACCTTTCATCTGCGCTACCTCCGGGGATTGTTTCAGCTATAACATTATTTGCTACATTCTTCCATTTTGTATGCCTTAGGTTGAAATCACCAAGCAGTAAGATGTTTGGGAGGTTGCATCTGGTGGCTTATATACAACCACAACGACTAGGTTTTGGTTCTCAATCTTTATTGACAGAACTTCAACTACCTCATTTGTGGTGTTCAGCAACTCCGTGCAGATGAGCGACTCTTTGACATACAGGCCAACCCCACCTTGTTGCCTGTTCTTTCTGTCGCATCTAAAAAGGTTGTACCCACTTATCCATATTTCACTGTCAAAGTGATCTTTTGTGTGAGTCTCTGTGAAGGCTGCAAACATTGCATTAGACTCCTCTAGAAGTCCACTGATAAAAGGTATTTTGTTGTTGGTAGATGGCTTAAGGCCCTGTATATTAGCAAATATGAACGAGGTTGTATTCTGTGTTTGTTGGGGGGATTTTGTTATTGGCATCAGTAGTTGTAATTCTGGAGGGCCATGGGTGGCCACTGGCTGCGCCTCCAGTCCAACAAGGCTCCAAGGTGGTGGACTATTTTTGTTATTTCCTTCCATTTTCTTTTTCCATTTCCTGCCACTAAAAATTCGCCTGGAGTTGAGTTGTCGTAGCTACTATTACTTGTTTTGTGGGGTCTGTCTCCTGGTCCCTTTTAGATGGTATGCAGGGCAGTTGATGTTGTAACACTGCTTCTGGAGGACCGAGGAGTGACACATTTTTGGGTGAAAGAAAGTACAGGAAGAAAAACAACACACTCCTTTATGCATGAGGTCGCTACATTTTTTAGGATGCTCAAAATTGCATGTCCCATTTCTTTTCCTTGATATTCTATACTTATAAATGCACCTGGAGTCTACCTGGCACAGTATTTGCACAATTTCACTTTTGGTTGGATATAATTGTTGGGAGGTGTGTTGTCAATTTCTGCAGGTTCTGGGACTGCACTATAATCCTCAGTATCCAAGAAAAGGCCACCCCGTCCTGGATTCCGTCTACTTTCCTCAATAGAAGATGGAGGAGACTCCTTCCCTACATCTGTACTGTGGGCTATGGTCTTGTGCAATGATGGTTGTACTAACGATGCTGTACTGACATCCTGTCTGTATCCTACTACACTTTGTATGCCACAGAAGAAAACTGATTTCCACTTTACCTTCCTCTTACTTGTGCCAGTAATATGCAAGATGTATTTATACGAACCAAGTTTGCAGCATGTGGGTGTAGGGGTGGTGGGTGTAGGGTGGGTCGGTTGGTGGTGTGTTGGGTGGGTGGGTGGTGTATATGTTAGGCCAGTGACTGCCTGGCAGCACTGCCAGACGTATGGCTGTAGCATATGGCTGTATGTGGCACTTCTGTCATGGGATATTACATTTAGTTTAAACCATTTCCATTATGTTAATCACTATCCTTGTGTTGTACCGCTGACAATTTAGGTTCACTAGGTCTTTCTATTATGTCTCGGTATTCTAGTCTATTCGTTATATGTCACTCTGTCTGACTTTTTTTGGGTTATCCTAGTTTCTCTACACATATGCTGCTATGTATGATAATTCTATGTAACTGTATTTGTGTATACCTGAATAAACTTACTTACTTAACTCAAACCTTTGTGTACCACAAAATACGCACAAAATGCGTGCTAAAGGAATAACAGGAAAAGTCGGTCGATGGATCTATAATTTCCTCACTAACAGAACACAGAGAGTAGTAGTCAACAGAGTAAAGTCCGAGGCAGGCACGGTGAAAAGCTGTTTCACAAGGCACAGTACTCGCTCCCATCTTGTTCCTCATCCTCATATCTGACATAGACAAGGATGTCAGCCACAGCACCGTGTCTTCCTTTGCAGATGACACCCGAATCTGCATGACAGTGTCTTCCATTGCAGACACTGCAAGGCTCCAGGCGGACATCAACCAAATCTTTCAGTGGGCTGCAGAAAACAATATGAAGTTCAACGATGAGAAATTTCAATTACTCAGATATGATAAACACGAGGAAATTAAATCTTCATCAGAGTACAAAACAAATTCTGGCCACAAAATAGAGCGAAACACCAACGTCAAAGACCTGGGAGTGATCATGTCGGAGGATCTCACCTTCAAGGACCATAACATTGTATCGATCGCATCTGCTAGAAAAATGACAGGATGGATAATGAGAACCTTCAAAACGAGGGATGCCAAGCCCATGATGACACTCTTCAGGTCACTTGTTCTATCTAGGCTGGAATATTGCTGCACACTAACAGCACCTTTCAAGGCAGGTGAAATTGCTGACCTAGAAAATGTACAGAGAACCTTCACGGCGCGCATAACGGAGATAAAACACCTCAATTACTGGGAGCGCTTGAGGTTCCTGAACCTGTATTCCCTGGAACGCAGGCGGGAGAGATACATGATTATATACACCTGGAAAATCCTAGAGGGACTGTACCGAACTTGCACACGAAAATCACTCACTACGAAAGCAAAAGACTTGGCAGACGATGCAACATCCCCCCAATGAAAAGCAGGGGTGTCACTAGCACGTTAAGAGACCATACAATAAGTGTCAGGGGGCCCGAGACTGTTCAACTGCCTCCCAGCATACATAAGGGGGATTACCAACAGACCCCTGGCAGTCTTCAAGCTGGCACTGGACAAGCACCTAAAGTCGGTTCCTGATCAGCCGGGCTGTGACTCGTACGTTGGTTTGCGTGCAGCCAGCAGTAACAGCCTGGTTGATCAGGCTCTGATCCACCAGGAGGCCTGGTCACAGACCGGGCCGCGGGGGCGTTGACCCCCGGAACTCTCTCCAGGTAAATTCCAGGTAAACCACTTGTCACATGTCAACACCAGGGCAAGATTTACCCACACTGCCACACTTCACTATTGTTTTTTTTATTTTATTTCCTTTTACGTTATGTTGTACACTGGTTATCTGAAGGATATACACTATATTCATTCAAGATATACTTTTCTTTCCACTGCACTATACTGGGGTCGTTGTTTTATTATTCACACAACAGCTAGGCCTACGCTAACTTTCCCCTACACTTCCATGAAAAAATTTATTTCATTCTTAGTAGAGGTAGCGGTAAAAACACGTCACACGGTAGACTTGTGCCTTTTCATCCTATCATGTGTCTTTTCTAAATGTATAAACGCAATAATGGTTTTTACGTTGGACTACGTGCGGCCAGTAGTAACAGCCTGGTTAATCAGGCCCTGATCCACCGGGTCGTGGAGCGGGCCGCGGAGGCGTTGATTCCCAGAGTACCCTTCAGGTAGACTCCAGGTACCCTTGTCTAAGGAATGCTCACATATATGCTCCAATATCAACACTGGTCTACACACATCCTTCCCTTCCTAAATCCTCGCTACTCCTCTGCAGTCCTGTTTTGTCTTGCCTCTAACCCTTTCAGTAATAACTGCACCCGGTATACTCCCTTACAAAAGGGAACTATGCAGCTCTCCACAAAACCTTGGGTACCCACCCTTTCACGCACATGTTGAACAAACACACCAACCACTTAAACACTGTCCTACCAGCTTTTAACATCTGTGTTAATCCCATTTATCACAGCCTATGTACCCCCCTTTCATTATACCCACTGCCTCACACACCTTCCCCACATCCACCACTGGTTCACTCTCACTCCTATACGATATTACCCCTCCCTCCCTCCCCATTGCCTCTCCTTCATAATTTGAATTCCACAATTCGTCAGAGTATCCTCTCCATGTTTCTTGTGCTTCCCCCACCCCATCAAGCATCTACACTATTTCGTTTTTAATTGCTAAGTCTTATTGCTCTCCAGGCTTCCTCACCTCATTGATCTTTTTCCAAAAGTTTCTTATTCGCAGCAAAATTTACCATGGATAAGTGCAACTCCGTGATTAGCGGCATGGGTAAGTACGTTTAAAGGGCTTTATCGGGCTTTTAAATACTTAATAAATACAGGTGCACAAGTTCAGATAGTGGTAATCCTTACTGGAAGGTGGAGGATAGTTACTTATGAATGACGACTGAGTGTGTAGCCACTGAGAGCGGTGGGAATGTAACAAGCAGTCCAGGTGTTGCACCAGCCAGGGACACTAACATGGCCAACTCAACCATTGTGCTGTTAAATTAATCCTCGTCGTCTTCTTGACATTAACCCGTCTTGGGAATGTCCACATTGTATACAAGGCAATATATAAGGGCACTCCGCCACAGGTTGTGGAGGTGATAACTGCGACGAATTGCAGGTAGTATTCTGCTGCTGCTGCTTCTGCTGCGCCTTCATTGAGGGCACGTGAAAAGGTAATTTTTGTTTTAACTTACCGTCTCCCGCCAAGGCAAGGTGATAAACACATTCGTCAGCATTCACTCAATCGCCGTCTTCCCAGATGTATGCTGACATTACAGTCAATTACTCATTTGACTTCAGCATCCCCTACTTTACCTCTGAGTGCTAGCACTGCCCTTCCTACCTCCACCACCGTGTTGGAGCTTTGTTCCCATTTATTAAAGCTCTGGTAAAACACACATTATATTATGAGCTGAGTGATAACGTTAGTACTTTAAAGACCTAGTGGCATTCAAACAAGAAAAGAAAGCAGTAGGTGTATCGACCAAACAAACTGTATATGTCGGTTGTGATATATTCTTTGTCAGAAGAAATGGGAAAATATCTCTTTAACTGAAGTTATGGTCACATGATCCACTCTGGAGATTTTTGCACGTGTGATAGACTCCTTATTCATTGATTACTTGTGTACAGTTAAAGTGCTTCACTGCATTTATTAATTTTTATCATTAAATCAACGTTTCACCCAACATCTTGATAAAGCCTGAAGTTGGCTGAAACGTTGTACAAATATAGGACTTCTTTTTCTGCCAGTTTTCACCATTATAAGAGATGGTAATTTTCTACCCTTTAAAAACAAAACAGAATGGATAATCACACAGTACTAGGATGTTTGCATGAAGTGTTATGGTATTCAAGCTTATGAACCTTTTAACACGATTCTTCCACAGTTACTATTTCATTCCTGTGATTTGTGATAACTCTTATGCTGAAGTGTTTGCCTTATAAAAACAGTTATAGTACTTATATTTTACAAAGTTGTGTGGCAATTAAAACAGTACCAGGATTAGGAAGCGTTTCATTTTATATTCGATTTTTTTTTAAATTATGAACAGGCTGATAGGAGTGCTTATATTGTAAATGTAAAGCGGACTGCATGCGTTCCGGTCCCTGTGTGATTCGATGAAAGGTATCCCTGTATCTAATAAGCCCAACACTTTCTACCTCACTGCACGTCCAAGGAACAGTGAAGAGTAGTCATAAAATCCTAATGCGCCAGAATATAAAAATATGTATATGCGCATGTGAGTGGAATGTATGCATGTTTGTATGTATGCCTGTGTATGTGCAGGCTATTACAAATATTCACACAAAATCCATAATCACTAGAAATTATACAAAACTCCACAAGGAATTACATACAGGTGTCCAAGGGGTAATTATCTGACTAGAAAGCTAATTATAAACAGTAATAATTTTGAGAAAATATACAGAAAGAGGTGTATGTCTGTATATATGCTGAGAGCTTACTTTAATCGAGATTTTAAGGTTTAGAGTATTCTTGACCGAGAGATACAGAAGTGACACGCAACATTTTGTTAGGTCAAAGAACACATGTGCAATTAATGCGATATTTTATTGTGGCAACGTTTCGCTCTCTAGGAGCTTTGTCAAACCGTCATGTAAAAGGACACCTGTGCAGCTAATGCGACATTTTATAATATCTTTATTTACTACAAGTATACGTTATACAGGCCTAGCTGACATCAATGACCTACTACTATATAGAAAGCCGCTTGTTATGCTGAGCATTTCGGGCAAATTAGGTCAGTTTTGTGTCAGGATGCTACCCACACTAGGTATCCATTTTGAACTGATGGGTGGACAGGGACAGCAGGTGTCTTATGGAAACACGTCCCTAATGTTTTCCAGTCATACCGGAGGAGATTCGAACCTCGGACCTTAGTGTGTGACCTGAGTGCGCTAGCGATCAAGGTAGTTGATAACGTTTCTCTTTCCTGGAGAGTGAAACGTTGCCACGATAAAATGTCGCATTAGTTGCACATGTGTCCTTATATCTAACATCCCCTCAAGGAAGGTTCCTTGATGTTGGTGAGGGGCTCTTGATTTAGGGAATTGGATCTGTGCTCCAGTTCCCCGAATTAAGCCTGAATGCCTTCCACATCCCCCCCCCCAGGCGCTGTATAATCCTCCGGGTTTAGCGGTTCCCCCTTGATTATAATAATAATAATATATCTAACATATTGTCAGTAATTCTACCAACAGTATTGCATTCAGCATTTTAATGATCTTCGTGTAGTCAATGGACTTCAAAACTATTAAAAAAAATAAACCACTTATGAGTAGGGTATATAAACAGAAGTGTGTGCCACTCTACACACACCGGGAATTTACTTTAAAGTGTTAAACTACTCCTAACAGTGCAAAGGTGTAATTCAGCATTAATGACGAACGTCATTAAACTTAACAGACCAATTATTTGAGATATTACAACGTTATTTACTTGCAGATGTTCAGTAGCATTTGGGTTGTACGTCTGATGGTGGTGCCTCTGGCGGTGATGCTACCCACAACCAGGACTATAAGAGACGTAGGTCTCCGTGCTGGGCTACCAGGTATGTTAATTGAACTAGGCCTTTCCATGTAGGACTACACTCGGGTATCCACGGAAGGGTATGTCTGTAGTGGTTGTCTGAATGTTTTTCCTTCATAGTTTATGTGAGATACCCTTCAAGGGAGGTTCCTCGAAGCTAGCGAGGGGCTTTTGATCCAAGAAACTGGACCTGTGCTCCCCTTCCTTGGATCAAACCTAAGTCTCCCATTCTCCCCATACCCTACGGGTCTAGCGCTCACCCATGAATGTAATAATGAGATACCGTTTCTTCTAATTGGCTTCAAATTTTAAGCGTTTGTGTAAATTAGAGGACAGTTGGATTGCTGTTAGGCTGTGTATGCGCCACTGAAATACGCAGATAGCGCAGCAGTTTTTGTGCGGTAATTTGAAAAATCCTCTGATTGATTTTAAAATTTTCGAGAAGTTACTAAAAAAGGCACAATACCGTGACTGTAACACAATACACAAATAACCCGCACATAGAAGAGAGGAGCTTACGACGTTTCGGTCCGACTTGGACCATTTACAAAGTCACACTAACGAAAAGGGGGTTAGTTTAGGTAAGGTTTGTCAGGAAACAGGACAAGTGTTTCCTGACACGGGTCTTAGATGATGACACGCCTTCGGAGCTTTGGTCATCTGACCACCGAGGCCTTCCGCTGGCTTACCGGTCCACCCCTTTAAAAATTATGGTCAGTTATAACTATTTTAGTAGGATAGCAATAACGAAAAGGAGAACAGGAGGGGTATATATAGGCAGGAGGTGGTGTAGTAGTAGTGGAGGTGGAAGGAAGTAGTGGTGGGGAAGGTAGTAAGGAGGAAGAGCCAGTCAAATACTATGAGAAGGTTCGGATTCTTACTGTCATGCGCTGGTGTCAATTTGAGAATTTTATTAAAGAATGTCGTATTGTTTTCGGTGCGATATCTTGAATATGTAAATTCTGAACGATTTCAAACTTACCTGCCTAATACATTTAACTACTTTAAAATTCGCAAGGAGTTTAGGGTGCATAGGTACAAATTTGCCAGTTTGCTAACATGGTAAAAAAATTATAATTGTTGGTCCCCAGGGGATAACTGGAGAATGCCTCGTCACGTGGTGAGTTCTGCGTTTTGTGGATGGCTGGTGCTTGATAACCAGTCTTGCAAAATATATGAAGACCTGCTCACAGTGTATGTTGTCTCTAAAACAACATACACGGGATCAAATTTGATTGCATCTGTCCTCAGGTACTGTATGATCCCCAACGGCTTAATGTTCGCCAAGGAATATAATATCAGTAATGGGAACGTCTCTTCTCACCAGTTTCAGTTGTTTGATACTGACTTGTTATTTTCACAGTAAAGTTTGTATTTCTATTTGGCTGTGTATGTCCAGATTTTCTAATTTTATCAAACAAATTGGGATATTGATTTCTGTATAATTGTAAAATGCCTCATACCTGGAGTATACCTGAAGAGGGTTTCGGGGGTCAACGCCCCCGCGGCCCGGTCTATTACCAGGCCTCATGGTGGATCAGGGCCTGATCAACCAGGCTGTTGCTGTTGGCGCACGCAACCCGGCGTACGAACCACAGCCTTGGGGTCAGGTACTGACTTTTGGTGCCTCTCCAACGCCTTCTTGAAGACAGCCAGGGGTCTACTGGTAATCCCCCTTAAGTATGCTGGAAGATATTTGAACAGTATTGGTCCCCTGACACTTACTGTGTCGTCTCTCATCGTGCTAGTGGCACCCCGGCATTTCATTGGAGGTGTGGAAAATAATTTCCCAAAAATTATGCTGTGTAAATAAACCTGATTAATTCATTACTATTGTTCTGTTGAGTGCATTTTAAATAAGAGAATCGATAGGGAAGTTCTGCGCCTGCGCTGACGAGCAGTTGTGAGATGCCATTGTTTTTTGAACGTGTTACAAGCACGTTAATGTAAGGTGTATAATTTTCGTCGCTCTAGGGGTTATATTGGGTTTAAAACCTCTCAAATAGGAGCCAAAATTGTTGGGTGTGCAGTTCTGCATAATTTGAGCATTAAGCAGATGGACAGGACAGCTCCAGGAACCTCAGATAAGATGTCTGTGTTTATGTTTAGTTCTGGCCAGTAATATTTTCATAAATGTAGACAGGGAGATTTTTGAGTATGATGCACAGTAATCTCCAGACAAATTGGCGAGTGATATGATTATAAATTCTCCTTCTGTTATATGAATGTGTATATGTAATCATTTATTAATTTTAACATACAGTCCACAAATTTATAATAATGTTTACCAGAATTCCTGGTGACGTATATTTCATTTGCAATTAATATAGGTCTAGAGCAACTTGTGGAGAGATAGATTATGGTAGGTATCAAAGGGGGACATTTTTTGCGACCTAGGTGTCCCAAAATTCCTACTTGTCTATGTAACTTTGATAAATAATTATCTTTGTTACCATTTACTGGTATGTGTCTTATGAGTTACATCCAAGCATATGTAATTTTCCACAGGAAGGATGTTGCATCGTCTGACGAGTCTTTTGCTTTCATAGGGAGTGATTTTCGTGTGCAAGTTTAGTACTAATCCCTCTAGGATTTTCCTAGTGTATATAATCATGTATCTCTTCCGTCTGCGTTCTAGGGAGTACAGCGTTCCCAGTAATTGAACTGTTTTATCGTTATGTGTGCCGTGAAGGTTCTCTGTACATTTTCTAGGTCCAGCAATTTCACCTGCCCTGAAAAGTGCTGTTAGTGTGCAGCAATATTCCAGCCTAGATAGAACAAGCGACCTGAAGAGTGTCATCATGGGCTTGGCAGCCCTAGTTTTGAAGGGTCTCATTATCCATCCTGTCATTTTCCTAGCAGATGCGATACAGTGTTATGGTTAGCTTCAAACTTTTCATCTGTTGTAATTTTCTTAGAGGAAGGATCGGATTGGTTTTCAGCTGTGTAAAATGAGTTTCCCAATTTTCCCTAAAAAACTGTAAAAAACTGAGATAATGGTTTGCATGCAGTGACTTGCATTTGTTTTTCCCTGAGAAGCTTCAAACACTGGTGTATCTTACTAACAAGATTTGGATTGTTATTAGACTGTGTAGGAGCTAATTTGCCAAATTTATTTTATGTCTTCGTCTGTTGATGCTTTATAAGAGGTGCCAGGATTGAGTTTTCATTTTCAAATTATTTACGTATTTCAGAAAACGGAAGAGGTATCTCAGTGATCCTGGGGGAACACCGCTTAATATCAAATTCAAACTCAAAGTTTATTCTCTATAAGGATTACAATGCTGAGTTTACAGAATTTGGTTATTGTGTGGTTTACATGTAGTAAAATAATGGCTAGGCATTTCGGGCAGACTTAGTTTAATTCTTAATTTTAAAATATTACAAATTATGAGGTAAGTTGGTATTATGGCTAAGTGACTAAATACTAGTTTGTGAGTTTAGCAATGTGAATGCTTTTGTTTTGGCATAGTACATAGTTTCAGTATTGGAGTATCACAGGATTCATTATTTTAAGATTGAGATTAATATTTCTGTTTATGGTCAAATGGGTGAGTGAGTGTAAGTGTGAACCACCAGGTGGTATTCGTGTAGTTAGTTGACGGGGTGTATCAGGGAGATAAGATGTTTTCTAATGGTAGTTTTGAAGGTGATGGATGTGTCTGCAGTTCTAGAGTTTTCAGGTAGGGTGTTCCAGATTTTAGGGCCTTCGACATACATTGAATTTTTGTAAAGGTTTAGTCGGACACGGGGAATGTCGTAGAGATGTTTGTGTCTGGTGTTATGCCTGTGGGTTCTGTCACAACTATCAAGAAAGCGTTTTAGGTCAAGGTTGATATTGGAGTTTAAGGTCCTGTAGATGTAGATTGCACAGTAGTAAGTGTGGATGTACTGAACAGGGAGTAAGTTTAGATCTATGAAGAGTGGGGGGGGTGTGTTGCCAGGGATGGGATTTAGTGATTATTCTTACTGCAGCTTTTTGTTGGGTTATTATTGGCTTTAGGTGTGTTGCTGCAGTTGATCCCCAAGCACAAATAGCATAGGTGAGGTATGGATAAATAAGTGAGTGGTATAGTGTGAGAAGGGCATTTTACGGCACGTAGTATCGTATCTTGGAGATGATCCCAACCGTTTTGGATACTTTTTTGTTTATGTGTTGGATATGGGTGCTGAAATTCAGGTTGTTGTCAAGGAATTTGCCCTCATTATGTCTGGTAATTAGAGTGTTGTCGATCTTAATGTTAATTTGTGCATCTCCTGCTCTGCTACCAAACATAATATAGTAGGTTTTGTCAGTGTTAAGCGTAAGTTTATTGGCTGTCATCCAAGTCGATATTTTGATCAGCTCCTCGTTAACAATGGTGTTGAGGGTGGCAAGATTAGGGTGAGAGATGACATAAGTCGTGTCGTCAGCAAAGAGAATGGGTTTCAGGTGTTGGGATACGTTTGGAAGATCATTGATGTATATGAGGAAGAGCAGGGGACCAAGGACACTTCCCTGCAGAACTCCAGTATCAAGTGGCCGTGTTGTTGATGCTGTGTTTTAATGGTGACATACTGATTCCTATTAGTAAGGTAAGATTTGAAATAAGCAAGCGCATGGCCTCTTATACCGTAATGGTCAAGTTTGTGGAGTAGGATGTCGTGGTCTACTGTGTCAAAAGCTTTTCTTAGGTCAATAAAAATTCCTAGTGGATATTCCTTATTTTCCAATGCTGTGTAAAGCAGATCTAGCATTTTTATAATTGCATCATTAGTGCTTTTATGTTTCCTGAATCCAAATTGTCTGTGTTTTAGGTATTCCTTGTCTCCCATTACCCAGGAGCTGTATGGCTCTTACGGGTTTAGTACTTCTCAAAGAAATAATTATCGATCCATTGGAGTGTGTTGCGTGCATTTGTTTTTTGTTCTGCTCTACCATTGTGTGAATCATTTCCTAGTGGAGAATCATGCCCAGTGTTTACTTGGAATTTAGGGATATACACTGTCCACGTATTCTTTCACCTTTGCTTTTTATCAGTGACTCACCGTCCTGGAGTATTTTGTATGTCGTGATCATATGTCCTCTATTTCTTTGTTCTTCCAACGACATAAAGATTAATTTTCGCATTCTTTCTTGATAGTTCCTTTTGCTCTTTTAACTCTTGCACCAGTCTTGACAAACTTTGAAGTACTTTCTCGAGTTTCACTTTTTTCTCTCTAAACGTAGCTATATACAAGTGATGCATAGTTAGGTTTTGTTTCACGTTGAAAGTTGAATTTTACTGTGTGGGTATTTATGTGGCATAGATATATATAATCGTTAACTTCTGATATATATGTATTTTAAGGATCAAGGATTACGTTACTACATGAAACCTAACTGTGTTGTTTTACCAGTGTGGCAAGCCAAGGTGGTCAATGAGACCCAGGGAGAACGAGAGGAACACGCTTCCGTCACCGTCCTCAGGAGTCCGATACTGGTAGAGCTGGAAGAGGAGCGGCCACTTGTGAGGGACCCCACATTGTCCAGGTAAGTGTAGGTGAAACAGCTGTGTTCACTATGAATCCTCTCATCCAGGATGCTTGTGGGCATCATCTGTTGCCACACTGATAAACATCATCGTAACAAACGAACCACAAGACGTGAAAGAAGAAAATAAGACATTTTTAATCTGTATAACCCAGGAAAAGGCTCATCGAGGTCTTTATGATGCGACTCACAACAGCTGACTAACTTCTAGGTACCTGTTTACTTCTAGATGAACGCTGATAGCAGGTGTAAGGAAACTTGCCCATACGTTCCTCCGACCAGAAAATGAATGCTCTGCCACTGAACTACGGATAAGATAAGATTTTCTTCTGATTTTTAACCCCGAAGGGTTAGCCACCCAGGATAACCCAAGAAAATCAGTGCGTCATCGAGGACTGTCTGCATTATTTCCATTGGAGTCTTCAATCTTGTCCCCCAGGATGCGACCCACACCAGTCGACTAACACCCAGGTACCTATTTGCTGCTAGGTGAACATGATAACAGGTGTAAGGGAACACATCGAAATGTTTCCACCCAGGAGGGAATCGAAACCATGCTGGTGGTGTTCCCGGTGTAGCACTCTAACACCCGTAATAGGTTTCTAAAGAGTTTCAACTCCCTGGCTCTGCCTGTAAACAAACTACCATGATAACTACCTGATCAGTCAGACTATTGCTACCTGCAGTCAGCAGGCCCACCAGCGTCTGGCTGCTCACACAGTTCCTTCTGTGAATTATTATTATGTGAGTAAATTACCTGCATGAGATTTACATGGTATTACCTGAATTATTACAGGCAAATAATTTGGGTGAGATAAGTGGGACTTAACTCACAATAGGTCGCCGACCTGTAACTCCCTCGATGCCCACTTCACCACTCTCACAAAAAGCTAGACCTGACATTAAATTAATAATTACAATATTAAAACCAGCTACTATAGGATTGGACTTGCTGGGTACACAAAATAAATTCATATTACCACTTACCATTTAATTACTGTAGATATATCACACCACAACACCTTGATCCTACACTGGCCAGTTAGAGATCTAAATGAAAAGACTAATGGTGCACTTCCCTGTGAGTGATATTCGCATCCCTTATCTTCTGCCATCCACATGTAATTCTTGAAGTCCTGCAAATTTCCTGTCCCAATTCTTCAGCAGGGGACATTAACATGGGTTCCTATTACAAAATTCAGGTCGAAAAACCCCAATTGACCTTCGAGAACACATGATGACATTGCACAATTCGGTCCAGTGTTCACGCTTTAAATTCAATATGGCGTCTGCTCCCAGCATCATTTCGCAGCTGTTCTACCCCCACCTTCCTACTCGAAATTTCTCGAAAGGATCAATTCAACATCATCACATTATATTATTCATTTATATGTTCTACATTTAGGAAATTATGTAAAAAAATTCTACACCTTCAGAAACTTTTTTAAATAACTTACCATGTCTAGGCAATATTTTCAGTATCTACTGCTAGGATAAAAGTGTGAAGAAAACACCCCGTGCAGGACGAGCTTATACTGGGACAACGTTTTGATCCTAACAGGTCGAAATTTTATCCATTTAAAGTCTGTTCTGCAAAGTGTCTTTTCTTGACTATTATACTGAAGAAATATTATAGTCTGGGATCTTTTGTACTTTTTTGTTTAACGTAATTTTAAATAGTTTCATCATAATCATTGTAGAACTTACCTGTCATTATCTCGTGTTATCCTGTCTTCCAACGAGAATATTTTCAGTGTCTTCCTTCAAGGCGGTTGTTTTGATCCTTGTGAAGCGTTCTTGATCCAAGGAATGAGCTTCCCTTCCTAGCATTAAACCTGATTGCTTTTCGCTCCCCAGGGTCTGTATGACCCATACGGGTTTAGCACTTACCCATGAATACAAAATTTCCAAAGTATTCCCAGTCTTTTCATATTCAAATTTCTTAAATATAGTATTAGTTTTTGTTTCATGTGTGAATGCTTGTTTTATAATTTATAATCTGTATGTTTTTTTTAGAACCGAATATAGCTACATATTTATTCGATATTTTTCTCGCAATCCATGTACTTGAAAAGATATTTTTAAATTTGCATGTGCATGCATTTTTTTGTGAGAAAAAATAATGATAGCTACGTTATATTGTGACCTCGCTGGGGAGGGTAACGAACATTCCTTAATTACACCAGATTTAGATTTTGCCACTTAAGTGGCTAGTTTATTGTACACCCCATATTCATCCTGTGGACGGTAGCGTAAGAACATATGGATACACAAAAGGCCTAGGAAATAGGCCCCTTTTTTAATTACACTAGTAAGTTCACAGCTGTACAGACCAACATCAACAGCAGCTGCACGCAAACCTCTCTGAGACTGATCTTGGTGACAGAGAAACTTTTGTCTTTTCCAGTCGAACATTAGAGACGTCCTAATTTACACCCCTGCCTCGACGCCGGGTCGACCAACACCCAAGTCTCAACGCTGCGTCACTAATACAGTGGTGTGATTTCAGTGGTTTGGGCCTAGGGGTAGGGTCCTCTTCTTTGAGAGGGGTAGTCTCCCTCAGTGGAAGGGCCTGGTTGCATGCGAGGGGTGTTGCTCGAAAAACTGGACTTATCTTCCCTTTGGATCCAACCTAAATACCTCCTATTACCCGGGCGTTGTATGGCCACTTCAGTTTAGCGCTTTCCTCTGATTAAATAGAGATATGGGAAGTGTGCCACTCTTTCCACAGGGTGCTTGCTTAAGAACCTAGCATTTCGGCATAAATGTTAGGGATATTTACTTTTCGTCTTAATTTGCTGACATGACCGATGAAACAAATTATGAAATAGATAAACTATTTTGGCTAGTTTTGCCTGCTTTACTATTATGATTTATGAAATAAAAGTAAACTGGTGACGACAGTAGCCATTTAATAAGGATAATGCAATTTAGATAATGTTAGCAGGATGATTAAAGAACTGAATAGCCAAATTGTATTAGTGCTTTGATAATGGAAAAACTCCAAACAGAAAAGCCCGCAAATGAACTGGTCTAGCAAAAGACAAAATGACAAACATTCAGGAAAAGAGAGATCAGTCATGCCGAGAGACGGAGTGAGCATTTGGAAAGAGCATTGAGGAATGAAATCTATAATTTTTCGTCCTTCTTGTCTCCGACTGTTGAACACTGTATCACTTCTCAGCTGCACATCAGCGGTGAAGATTACTCTTACCACTCCCATTATATATGTGACGTTTAAACGATGATCTGTTTTTAAGATGTATTTGAGAAGAGTTTGAGAAGGGTCATCATATCACTAAGACCCCATTCAGATTATTTTTTCACTAGAAAATAAATTAATAATACGTATATCGTCACGTGAGGTCACAGACCCTGAGCTGCTTTGGGGATTAGCATGGACGGTTACAAAGCATGGCTTGCTTCTGCAGTGTTTTAAAAATTGAGGTTGGAGAGTTGAAGGAGGAGGTCTTGCTTCTCCAGGAGGAGATTAGGAGGCTGAAGGTCCACCTCAATGGGTCTGGGAGAGAGTGTGAGGTGGCTGGAGTTGTGGGGAATGAGGCTTCTAGCAGTGAGGTGCAGTCTGTCTCTCGCTGTGAGGAGGCTGTAGTTGGGGAGGTAGCAACGGCTACCAGCAGTGAGGTGCAGTCCAGCACCTGCTACAAGTGGCGAGTGGTTCACAGTAATGGGAGGCGCATCAGAGTAAGGAAAGTTAAGAGTGAAGATCTGAAGGTAGGAAATCACTTCTCTGTTCTTCAGGATGAATGGACTTCAGTGGCCAGTGAAGGTAAGGGTACTACTGCCCCTGCTAATGGAGGTAAGCGCATTCTTGTGGTTGGTGACTCTCAGGTAAGATATATTGACCGTGCTTTTTGTAATAGGAATAAGAAGATGAGAGATAGAGTGTGTTTCCCTGGAGCTGGTGTTGGGGACACTGACAACAGGCTGGATAATATCATGTCAGGTAATGGGAACAAGCCCATTATCTGTCTCAGTGCTGGTGGAAATGATATTGGGAAGGGTAGGAGAGAAGAGCTGCTAGATAAGTACAGGTCAGCTATAGATATCATTAAGTCTAAGGGAGGGATCCCAATCATATGTAGCATCTTGCCTAGAAGGGGAGTAGGAAATGAATGGTTGTCTAGGGCACTTGGTGTAAATTGCTGGCTAGACAGATACTGCAAGGAACTTGCAATCCCATTCATTGACAACTGGAACAACTTTTATGGCAAACATGATACGTATGCAAGGGATGGGGTACATCTCTCTGGGGCTGGGGTGGTAGCACTTGCAGACTCGATTGAGAAGGCCATTGGTGAAATGCCTATGATTTTAAACTGATGGAAGATAGAGGTATGGGTGTGTGTGGGAAACAAGCAGGTTGCAACACTAGGGTTGGAAACAGTAAATGTATAAAAGGCATTCAGCATGAAGTTATAAATAAAGACAATAGATCAGGTCAGCAAACAAAGGGGGACAGCAGAGGGCAGCAAGGGACTAGCTCCCTTAAGGTTTACTATACTAATAGCAGGAGTGTAAGAAATAAGATAGATGAGCTAAGATTAATTGCAAGTGCAGGAAACATAGATATTATTGCTATAACAGAGACCTGGCTCAATCTGAAAGATAGAGAGATGCCCTCTGAATGTCACATACTAGGCTATAAATTATTCCACACTGACAGGGTCAACAGGAAAGGTGGTGGAGTAGCGATGTACGTCAGAGACAATTTAAATTGTTGTGTTAGACAAGATATTAAATTAGAAGCGTCAGCCACTGAATCTGTTTGGTTACAGCTTCTCGAGGGCCAGAGAAAAACTAATTTTGGGTGTGATTTACAGGGCCCCAAATCTTGATAGGGAGTGCAGTAAACTTCTATGGGACGAAATTCGTAAGGCATCTACATACGAAAATGTTGTGCTAATGGGAGATTTCAACTATAGACAGATTGACTGGAGCAATTTGACAGGAAATTTAGAGTCAGGTGACTTTCTTGATACGATCCAGGATTGTTTTTTAAAACAGTTTGTGACAGAGCCAACTAGGGGAAATAACCTCCTTGACTTGGTTCTTGCCAGTAGGGAAACACTAATTAATAATCTTGAGGTTAATGATGAGCTTGGGGAAAGTGATCACAAATCACTGTTTTAATATATCATGGAATTCCCTAATAATGGCAATCAAGTCTCCGTCCCTGACTTTCGCTTGGCTGATTTCATAGGACTGAAAAATTACTTAGGTGGGCTGAACTGGAATGACCTGACTAAGGGTCAGGTAGGTGGTGATGGTTGCCGATATGATGCTTTCCAGGGCATAGTTCTAGCTGCTCAGTCAAATTATGTTCCAAATAGGGAAATCAGATCAAACAAAAATGATCCTAAATGGATGAACAATAGATTAAAATATCTGATTGGTCAAAAGAGAGGCATATATAGGCAAATCAAAAGAGGAGAGGGGCAATTAAGAAATCGATATATTCAGTTAGAGAGAGAAATAAAAAAGGGAATTAGAAAAGCAAAAAGAGATTATGAGGTTAAAGTTGCAAGAGAATCGAAGACTAACCCAAAAGGATTCTTTCAGGTATACAGAAGTAAGATCAGGGACAAGATAGGCCCACTCAAAAGTTCCTCGGGTCAGCTCACTGACAGTGATAAGGAAATGTGTAGAATTTTTAATACATACTTCCTCTCAGTTTTTACACAGGAGGATACCAGCGATATTCCAGTAATGATAAATTATGTAGAACAGGACGATAAACTGTGCACGATTAGGGTCACAAGTGACATGGTCCTTAGGCAAATAGATAAATTAAAACCTAACAAATCCCCAGGCCCAGATGAACTGTATGCAAGGGTTCTAAAGGAATGTAAAGAGGAGCTTAGCACACCTTTGGCTAATCTTTTCAACATATCACTACAAACTGGCATGGTGCCAGATAAGTGGAAAATGGCAAATGTGATACCTATTTTCAAAACAGGTGACAGGTCCTTAGCTTCGAACTATAGACCAATAAGCCTAACCTCCATAGTGGGAAAATTTATGGAATCAATAATTGACGAGGCAGTTCGTAGCCACCTTGAAAAGCATAAATTAATCAACGAATCTCAGCATGGTTTTACAAAGGGGCGTTCCTGCCTTACGAATTTATTAACTTTTTTCACTAAGGTATTTGAGGAGGTAGATCATGGTAATGAATATGATATTGTGTATATGGACTTCAGTAAGGCTTTTGACAGGGTCCCACATCAGAGACTATTGAGGAAAATTAAAGCATATGGAATAGGAGGAGAAATTTTTTCCTGGATAGAGGCATGGTTGACAAATAGGCAGCAGAGAGTTTGCATAAATGGGGAGAAATCAGAGTGGGGAAGCGTCACGAGCGGTGTTCCACAGGGGTCAGTGTTGGGTCCCCTGCTGTTCACAATCTACATAAACGACATAGATGAGGGCATAAAGAGCGACATCGGCAAGTTTGCCGATGACACCAAAATAGGCCGTCGAATTCATTCTGACGAGGACATTCGAGCACTCCAGGAAGATTTGAATAGACTGATGCAGTGGTCGGAGAAGTGGCAGATGCAGTTTAATATAGACAAATGCAAAGTTCTAAATGTTGGACAGGACAATAACCATGCCACATATAAACTAAATAATGTAGATCTTAATATTATGGATTGCGAAAAAGATTTAGGAGTTCTGGTTAGCAGTAATCTGAAACCAAGACAACAGTGCATAAGTGTTCGCAATAAAGCTAATAGAATCCTTGGCTTCATATCAAGAAGCATAAATAATAGGAGTCCTCAGGTTGTTCTTCAACTCTATACATCCTTGGTTAGGCCTCATTTAGATTATGCTGCACAGTTTTGGTCACCGTATTACAGAATGGATATAAATTCTCTGGAAAATGTACAAAGGAGGATGACAAAGTTGATCCCATGTATCAGAAACCTTCCCTATGAGGATAGACTAAGGGCCCTGAAACTGCACTCTCTAGAAAGACGTAGAATTAGGGGGGATATGATTGAGGTGTATAAATGGAAGACAGGAATAAATAAAGGGATGTAAATAGTGTGCTGAAAATATCTAGCCTAGACAGGACTCGCAGCAATGGTTTTAAGTTGGAAAAATTCAGATTCAGGAAGGATATAGGAAAGTACTGGTTTGGTAATAGAGTTGTGGATGAGTGGAACAAACTCCCAAGTACCGTTATAGAGGCCAGAACGTTGTGTAGCTTTAAAAATAGGTTGGATAAATACATGAGTAGATGTGGGTGGGTGTGAGTTAGACCTGATAGCTTGTGCTACCAGGTCGGTTGCCGTGTTCCTCCCTTAAGTCAATGTGACCTGACCTGACTAGGTTGGGTGCATTGGCTTAAGCCGGTAGGAGACTTGGACCTGCCTCGCATGGGCCAGTAGGCCTTCTGCAGTGTTTCTTCGTTCTTATGTTCTTATATATTGTGTGAGGCAGGTTGGAGGAGGCTGTAACGCTGCGAGTGGCGGTGGAGGAGTGGGTACCTCACATAGGCGTGAGAGAGGAGAGTCCAGGGAACGTCATTATCAGTGGACCTATGGCCAACCTCCTCCAGTCTCTGGCCCACACTCTCAACTTCAGGTGATTATTGTTGGGTGCTCTGTGGTCTTCCCTTGGTGGCAATAGTAAGCAATAAATAAAAATATTATCCAAAGAAATGAACAAATACTGTGTATTAATAAGAGTACAATGCGCGTACGGGAACATCTATGACAATAGGTTGTGTATAATTTGATCCCTCTTACAGATACACTTTGGTGCGGCCTCCCGACGGAGCCTGGGGTATTCCTACGTCAGGAGGAGACTGGAGCGGCATGATCGGCATGGTAAAAAGGAACGTTAGTACCTCGCCACACTAGGTAGAAGGCTAGGTGATCTTGAGAGTAGACTTTTAATGTATACAATAACAAGTTGATGAGTAAGATGCACGGGCAACACTTTATTATCTGTATCTTTGTCGTTTCGGCAAATAAAGCTACCTAAATATTCATCTTGGAACTTGAGAAGAGCGGCTGAAATTTATTTTTTGAAGGCAACAAAACAAATGCCATCAGCAACAAGTTTTATAATGAATACGCGCATATAGCTCTGTTTTTCCTCTTTGCTGTGACTACTCTTCATCTGGTGAATTAAATGGCACCAGAGATCATTTTTTCTATTGCAAACATCGATTTCGTCTTCAGAATTCTTTCCGGAGTTTACAAAAAGCACATTTAGTATATTTCAAGAGGCAACCGGCATCCACCAACGAGCGTAGTATTCATTTTCTTATTGACTTTAAGTACTGTCAACTGTAATGAAAATTCAGGTACGCTGTAAGTCTTTATTGTGACAACGTTTCGCTCTGTAGAGGGCAAGTCTGTCTTCGGCGAGCTCTGTATAGAGCGAAACTGACGGGTTATGTTTTAATTGCCAAAGCCTGGTGGCTAAAGCTCCCGCTTCACACACGGAGGGCCAGGGTTCGATTCCCGGCGGGTGGAAACATTTCGACACGTTTCCTTAAACCTATTGTCCTGTTCACCTAGCAGCAAATACGTACCTGGGTGTTAGTCGACTGGTGTGGGTCGCATCCTGGGGGACAAGATTTGAGGACCCCAATGGAAATAAGTTAGACAGTCCTCGATGACGCACTGACGTTCTTGGGTTATCCTGGGTGGCTAACCCTCAGGGGTTAAAAATCAGAACGAAATCTTATCTTAAAGAAAGTACTAAAGCAAGGAGTGAGTTATGAGTCAATACTATTAATTGCAAACGTCACCACAACATGTATTGAAGGAACGCTGTTTCTCATAATTCCGGCGAGGAACTCGATGAGCAGCCACCTCCAAGGGTGGGTTCTGGGCATTTTGAATGTAAGTAATCATTCGAAATGAATGAGACCTACTCAGTCTGTATACTGTATATCTGAACAAAATATGCCCCTATGCAGTGAAAATAAATTCCGGCAGGAGGCTGACTTAGCCCTGGGTCCCTTCGGGTTGACGTACTCGAGGTCACGGGTCGTCGACTTCTCCTCGCCCATCCTTATAGACTACTACCGTATCTTGGTCCAACGGCCCCGTGCAGAACCCAATCCTCTTGGCTTCCTCGGACCTTTCAGGTTAGTGCTTTCAGGTCAGAGTATTTCAGGTCAGTTTGTGTAATCTAGAACATTTGGAGGATTTATTAGGGAATATTTTTTTTATATTTTTCCTCAAGGGGAGTTTGTTGGGCACTTCCTAATCAAAACTAATTACCTCTCAGTCAAGGCTAGTTACCTCTCGATCAAGGTTAGTTACTTCCTAATCAAAGCTAGTTACCTCTCAGTCAGGGCTAGTTACTTCCCAATCAAGGTTATTTCCTAATCAAGGCTAGTTTCCTACACGACTCATCCTGGGAGTGAACAAAACTGCTATAAAAGCAACACATTACGGCCAGCACATTAAAACCTCAGTTAACCTGGTGTTGGCAATATCAGCTCCATCCTTCCATGTTTCTGTATACAACTTACTACCTTTGCAATTTCAGTCTCTGTTATATGCAGATATCATTTCTTTTGCAAGTTACCATTATCTGAGTGCAGCAAATTTTGCATTTTTTTTTTGTAAACTGATCCTCAAATTCCCTCATCACATCTTCCGCCGTTTTTCTCTGTATTGAACTGACAAAGCCACTGGTTGACGAAACGCATAATAAGGATATTAAACTAAACAGTAACGATACCCAAGTGTTCCACATGTTTTATTCTTCCACTTGTCGGTTTTCTAAGCCATTAATAGTGTTCTGAAGTATGTCGAATCAAAAATACTCAACACATGTCAGAATTTTTACACAGGAATAACGTTTTATAATATAACATGCATCTTAGGAACGAATTATTTAGAGCAAGTTCTAGGAATGCCCGGCGATCCTTCGCTCTGCTGTAATTTTGATGTTATTGTCGGAGAGCAAAAATCACAATACCTAGGCTTGAACAATTCACACTTAGCTTGAATTTTGAAAATGGAACTTGTTAAGTTTCGATTCTTCCTGGACTATTATGTTATGGCTCGTTACCGAAGTTTAGCCACATGACCCATTGAAAAAAAAAAAAATACCCACCATGCGCTGACAGTATGATTCTGAGAGATTGCTATGTGGGTACAGGTCGTCAGTGTGGGGAGGGCTGGTCGCGTGTGTGGGCGTGGTGGGGGCGACTCTCTACTGCGTCAGTCTGGCTTACCATCATCTGGGTAACGACGCGGAGAAATCAGGTGCGGGATATCATCTGCTTATGTCTCACTTGTGGACAGTATACAGCGCCCTTCTAGGTGAACGTGAGTACTCGTCTAGTTGTATTTGCCTAGTTATGCACATCTAGTTGTACTTGTCTACTTGCACTCATCTAGTTGTACTCATCCTGTTGTACTCGACTAACTGTACTCGGCTATTCTTGCCATGTGCTTCCTAATTGTTTTCACTTATTTGTACACATTTTTGTACTCCCTTAATGGTACTGACCTATTCGCCTGCAGCATACACGTGGGTGGTGCAGCGAGGTGGTGAGCGTGTGGTGGTGGTGACATGGTGCATGGTGTCTCTGATTGTAGCTAGGTCCTACAGCTCAGCCCTTACTTCGCTTCTCGCCGTCAGGACGGTTCCCGCCAAGTACAACTCCCTCAAGGAGGTCGTCGAAGACAACAAGCTCAACCTAATCTTCGAGAAGGCCACCGCCCTCGTCGAACACATGTCGGTGCGTCTGCTGTTGATTAATCTTACTGATGCTCTGCTTTCTCAAACACAAGTTCTTTTCCTCTTTATTTCTTACTCATGCAACTTTCCGGTAGTTTTTCTCTTCATTATTTCTGGCACAAGATTATTTTCTGCTACGATTAATTAAAAACCATTCATCAGACAGGATTCAGTGCGCATTCATTTATGAACTAGCAGCTGAATGTTGTTAGTTGGTTTTCTAGGTAGAGGGTTGAAACGTGAGGAGTATTAGATAATTATTTTAATGCTTTTTTTTAATTGATTCTAGATATTTTAACAGTTCGAGTATATATATTGCTTTATAGTTAGCTTATAAATGTGTGGGCCTTTCTTTTTCATTGTTAATTTAAACTTGTATGTGTGTGTGTGTGTGTGTGTGTGTGTGTGTGTGTGTGTGTGTGTGTACTCGCCTAATTGTGGCTGCAGGGGTCGATTCACAGCTCTTGGCCCCGCCTCTTCACTGGTCGCTACTAGGTCCTCTCGCTCCATGAGCTTTATCATACCTCGTGTGCGTGTCATCGTGCCTCGTTGTGCTCCGGGTTTTCTCGTGTTTTCACGGTCGCTCTTACGTGCTACAACTTTAATTTGTGTCATCAATCCTATACGATACATCCCTCTAGCGCCTGGAACCAATCTTGGGCGGAAAACATTATATACTGAGTCAAAAAAGGAGAATTAGTGTACACTACCTAGCAGAGTTTACTACCAGAGGGGAATCATAGGCCTGGGTGCCGTGTGAAAAAATAATAATTGAACTTTTCTTGTCAGAGGAAAGAAAGTCTCCCTGATAGCATTGTGTATGCATAGTGTTATAGTGTATACTACAGTGGCTCCCTAGTATATAGATGATAAAGGCTAAAGTATCATTTGAAAACAGGTGAATTTGTAAATGAAGTGATAAGCCTATAGAGGCAGGTGCCAGAAGTCGCCAGAAACTTACCACAGGTCAGCTGTTTTTAATAATCTTCATGGCCTGCTAGTGTACTCGCATATAATCTAGTGATACCAGTGAATAGCAGAATGCAGTGCTGTAGTAGCAACTAACCAGTATTAAAATGGTACTTAGTGGAGTGGAGTGACTTTCATTAGTTTCTTTTTCTTGAAATACCAGACGTTACTGTGAATTTCATATAACCTGTAGTTACCAGTGGTCGCAATATACACAACGAGAAGCAATTATTACTACAGAAAAAGCGTCCCTCCTCCAAAATTTCCACCAGTCAACTATAGTGATAATATAGCATTTATTGTGGTGGAGGTCAAAAAGAAAAACTAGAAAAGCTAGATACAGCGATTGATAAACAAGGGTTGAGGCTCGACCGTTCGTCACTGTAGGAGTTGCCAGCAGTCACCGGTTTCTTCAACACGCAAGTTATACTTTTGTATCAATCAAATAACATATTACTAGGGTAGAATTTTCCAGTAGATCCTTCATGTGTTAGCCCAAATCACCGACCAGTATGTTTTAAATAAGTGACCCACTGATCAGATCAGACTGGCTCCGAACCCTCGACTGGACCGAACCCTCGACTGGTCGAACCCTTGGCCGGTTTCAAACGGATTCGTTGGACAATAAAGCAGACTGTAAACGGATGGGGTTGTAGGCGCCCTTATAAACACAAACAATAAATGTAAAACAAACTCCAGGAGCGTACTCCGGTAAGCTGTCCTGATATAAAAGTACAGTTAGAAATAGAAATACAGATAGCTAGAGCTTTACTTAAAGAGGTTATTAATAGAGTATTCAAGAGGTTGCTAGTAGAATTACAGTAAATCAACCATTCAAATCATTATGAAGCTGTGTGTAGTCTGCAATAAATCAAACAAACGGGCTTCCACATGGATAAATTGTCATTTTTGTGGAAATTGGTGTCACGCCCCTTGTGCAGATATCCAAGAACTAGCTACAAGCAGTATTAAAACAGGGAAGTGTTTTGGGTATGCCCAAAGGAGATAAATCTGTGGACTAAAATCACAAGGGTATTAAAAGAGGATAACATCAAAGCTACTTTCATAGACAACCTGGAAGCTTTCTACAACAGATGGGAACATAAAAAGTCTGGGCTGAATGGTACTGCCCTTGATACTGGCCATGTAGTCAGAAAAACTGTAAGGCTGGAGGTGATGTCCTGGTAGTCAGTAAATGTGGGGCTGATAGTGCTGTCCTGGGAGACAGTAAAGGTGAAGCTGGAGGTGCTGTCCTGGGAGACAGTAATGGTGAAGCTGGAGGTGCTGTCCTGGGAGACAGTAATGGTGAAGCTGGAGGTGCTGTCCTGGGAGACAGAAATGGTGAAGCTGGAGGTGCTGTCCTGGGAGACAGTAATGGTGAAGCTGGAGATGCTGTCCTGGGAGACAGTAATGGTGGAGTTGGAGATGCTGTCCTGGGAGACAGTAATGGTGAAGCTGGAGGTGCTGTCCTGGGAGACAGTAATGGTGAAGTTGGAGATTTTGTCCAGGTAGTTGGGAATTATACGCAGGAAGGAATGCATATAAATGACCTCATAGGGGACAGGAGCCGTAGTGGGGAAACAAGTGTAGTCAAAGATAAGATAAAACCAATATTGCAAACAAGAAATACAACAGGAAATAGCAAACAAGAGGACTCCACTAGCAATAGTGAGGATATATTACCAAAAACAACTGGTGGGAGCTCCACTGTTGGTGCTAGGGAAGATAGGAATAAGACAGGTAAACATGCACCAACAGGGAATACAGTCACAGAAACCCAAGGCAAACGGAAACCAAGTCTGTGCACATACTATGCACTTGGTATCTGCAGACATGGGAAATCTGGAAAAACAGATGGGACGTGCAACTATGACCACCCTAGAAAATGCCGTGCCCATATGACAACAGGAAAATGCAAACTCCTTTCCTGTAAACTTTTTCACCCTGAAATGTGTACCTCTTCAGTACAGGAAAGACTGTGCTATAACTTAAATTGCCAGGCACACCATCTAAAGGGGACAAAAAGATACAAACCATCCAGGCCATGGGAAAACCTGGGTAGCCACAGCCACTCAAGAGGGAGAGGTTTTTTAGTGCCAGGAAGGAAAAAAAACTGGCAGGAAATGGCAGAAATTGTACACCAAATCCAGTCATTCCTGGAGTGGAACCACAGTCGATGGCCTCCACTCCAAACCAACAAATACAGATACTAATGCCGGAAAAAAAATCCCCCCCAGTACCAACAATACCACCAGTCCGATGACATTCTTCTTTGCAAATATACAGGGTCTAAAGCCAGCAACAAACAACAAAATACCTTTCATCCGTGGACTGCTTGCAGAGGCAAAGGCAATGTTCGCGGCTTTCACTGAGACCCACATAAAGGATCACTTAGACAACGAAATATGGATCCCAGGTTACAACCTATACAGATGTGACAGAGTGAACAGGCAAAAGGGGGGGGGGTTGGCCTGTACATTGCAGAGTCACTTGTTTGCACAGAACTGCTTAATGCCTCAAATGATGTAGTGGAAGTTTTAGCAGTAAAGGTCGAGAACCAAAACCTAGTCATTGTGGTAGTCTACAAGCCTCCAGATGCAACATTCCAACAATTCCAGGAACAGCTGTTAAAAATTGACCACTGTCTGGAAAATCTTCTAGCTCCTGCACCCAACATCTTGCTCCTGGGGGATTTCAACTTAAGCACCTAAAAATGGAGGAATATAGCAAATAATATTGTTGCAGTAATAACACCAGGAGGCAGCTCTGATGAAAACTCACTCACACGAGCTTTTAAATCTCTGCACAAAATTCAATTTAAACCAGCAAATAATAGAGCCTACTAGAATGGAGAATACACTAGACCTCATCTTCACTAACAATGATGATCTGATGAGAAATGTCACCATATCAAAAACAATATACTCAGATCACAACATAATTGAGGTTCAGACATGTATGCGCAGAGCCCCAGACCGACAAAATGAGATTAGTCACGAGGGAGCATTCACCAAATTCAACTTCAATAACAAAAACATAAAGTGGGACCAAGTAAACCAAGTCCTAACCGATATAAGCTGGGAAGATATACTAAGCAACACAGACCCCAACTTATGCCTAGAACAGATTAACTTGGTGGCACTCGATGTATGCACAAGACTTATTCCTCTAAGAAAAAGGAGGAGTAGATGTAAAATAGAAAGAGACAGGCGCTCTCTTTACAGGCGACAGAAAAGAATAACAGAGCGGCTAAAAGAGGTCAATCTATCTGAAATGCGTAGGGAGACACTGGTCAGAGAAATAGCAAACATCAAACTTAAGCTAAAGGAATCTTATAGGAGTCAGGAATCGCGGGAAGAACTAAAAGCCATAAATGAAATCGAAAGAAACCCAAAGTATTTCTTCTCCTATGCTAAATCAAAGTCGAGAACAACGTCCAGTATTGGGCCCTTACTTAGACAAGATGGGTCCTACACAGATGACAGCAAGGAAATGAGTGAGCTACTCAAGTCCCAATATGACTCAGTTTTTAGCAAGCCACTAACCAGACTGAGAGTCGAAGATCAAAATTAATTTTTTATGAGAGAGCCACAGAATTTGGTTAACACAAGCCTATCTGATGTTATCCTGACGCCAAATGACTTCGAACAGGCGATAAATGACATGCCCATGCACTCTGCCCCAGGGCCAGACTCATGGAACTCCGTGTTCATCAAGAACTGCAAGAAGCCCCTATCACGAGCCTTTACCATCCTATGGAGAGGGAGCATGGACACGGGGGTCGTCCCACAGTTACTAAAAACAACAGACATAGCCCCACTCCACAAAGGGGGCAGTAAAGCAACAGCAAAGAGCTACAGACCGATAGCACTAACATCCCGTATCATAAAAATCTTTGAAAGAGTCCTAAGAAGAAAGATCACCACCCATCTAGAAACCCATCAGTTACACAACCCAGGGCAACATGGGTTTAGAACAGGTCGCTCCTGTCTCTCAACTATTGGATCACTACGACAAGGTCCTAGATGCACTAGAAGACAAAAAGAATGCAGATGTAATATATACAGACTTTGCAAAAGCCTTCGACAAGTGTGACCATGGCGTAATAGCGCACAAAATGCGTGCTAAAGGAATAACAGGAAAAGTGGGTCGATGGATCTATAATTTCCTGACTAACAGAACACAGAGAGTAGTAGTCAACAGAGTAAAGTCCAAGGCAGGCACGGTGAAAAGCTCTGTTCCACAAGGCACAGTACTCTCTCCCATCTTGTTCCTCATCCTCATATCTGACATAGACAAGGATGTCAGCCACAGCACCGTGTCTTCCTTTGCAGATGACACCCGAATCTGCATGACAGTGTCTTCCATTGCAGACACTGCAAGGCTCCAGGCGGACATCAACCAAATCTTTCAGTGGGCTGCAGAAAACAATATGAAGTTCAACGATGAGAAATTTCAATTACTCAGATATGGTAAACACGAGGAAATTAAATCTTCATCAGAGTACAAAACAAATTCTGGCCACAAAATAGAGCGAAACACCAACATCAAAGACCTGGGAGTGATCATGTCGGAGGATCTCACCTTCAAGGACCATAACATTGTATCGATCGCATCTGCTAGAAAAATGACAGGATGGATAATGAGAACCTTCAAAACGAGGGATGCCAAGCCCATGATGACACTCTTCAGGTCACTTGTTCTATCTAGGCTGGAATATTGCTGCACACTAACAGCACCTTTCAAGGCAGGTGAAATTGCTGACCTAGAAAATGTACAGAGAACCTTCACGGCACGCATAAAGGAGATAAAACACCTCAATTACTGGTACCGAACTTGCACACGAAAATCACTCACTACGAAAGCAAAAGACTTGGCAGACGATGCAGCATCCCCCCAATGAAAAGCAGGGGTGTCACTAGCACGTTAAGAGACCATACAATAAGTGTCAGGGGCCCGAGACTGTTAAACTGCCTCCCAGCATACATAAGGGGGATTACCAACAGACCCCTGGCAGTCTTCAAGCTGGCACTGGACAAGCACCTAAAGTCGGTTCCTGATCAGCCGGGCTGTGGCTGGCTCGTACGTTGGTTTGCGTGCAGCCAGCAGTAACAGCCTGGTTGATCAGGCTCTGATCCACCAGGAGGCCTGGTCACAGACCGGGCCGCGGGGGCGTTGACCCCCGGAACTCTCTCCAGGTAAACTCCAAGTATGTATGGATCCTGCCTCCAATACGTCACTTTCCAGACTATTCCACTTCCTGAGAGCTCTATGGATGAAAAAATACTTCATAACATCCCTCTGACTCGTCCGAGTCTTCAACTTCCAATTGTGACCCCTTATCTCTGTGTCCCATCTCTGGAACATCCTGTCTTTGTCCACGTCAATTTCTCGCAGTATTGTATATGTCGTTATCATATCATCCCTATCTCTCTTGTCCTCCAGTGTCGCCAGGCCGATTTCCTTTAACCTCTCCTCGTAGGACATGCCTCTTAGCTCCTGGACTAGTCTTGTTGCAAACCTTTGCACTTTCTCTAATTTCCTGACGTGCTTGACCAGGTGTGGGTTCCAAACTGGCGCTGCATACTCCAATATGGGCCTGACGTACACGGTGTACAGAGTCTTGAACGATTCCTTACTGAGGTATCGGAACGCTGTTCTTAGGTTTGCCAGGCGCCCATATTCTGCAGCAGTTATCTAGTTGATGTGCGCCTCTGGTTGATGTACTCTGTCTGCGGTCTTCTTTGCCCTTCTATGATCTTCATGACTTTACATTTGGTTTGGTTAAATTCCAGGAGCCAGTTACTGGACCAGACTTGCAGCGTATCCAGGTCCCTTTGTAGTTCTGTCTGATCCGCATCCGAATTAATTCTCCTCATTAACTTCACATCATCCGTGTTCTCACCTATTTGTGGTTGCAGGGGTCGATTCACAGCTCCTGTGTGTGTGTGTGTGTGTGTGTGTGTGTGTGTGTGTGTTGTGTGTGTGCGTGTGCGTGTGCGTGCGTGCGTCCTTTTAGTTAGTTAAATATTAGCCGGTATTCTCCCGGCCCGGGCCTTGTCCAAGTGGTGGCCCGGCCTTGGCCTTTAGGGAGTGTCTGAGACCTAAGTCTCCCATGGGAGGAGGCACAAGTACCTCCTCATCTGCGTCCTTTTAATGACAGGAGCTGCTAATGACTTACTCGTTCCAGCACTCTAAATTTTCAAACTTCCTCATATCAAACATATGCAAGCCAGTGATGCATTCTGCCAGATAAAACTTGGGATCTGTTCCGGCAGACGGTACAGCAAGGGATTTATAAGGACCTGGCCGACACCCGCCTGACGGGCCGGGCGCACTTTCTGCCAGCGTCGCAGCTGTACAGCGCAGCATACAATGAAGTTCGTAACAAGCGCTATGCTCTCCTGGTGGAGGACACCACCTGCAGGAAGGTCTACTCTGATGACTTCACCAAGTACGGTAGGCAGCCTGATCCCTATTGTCCCACAAGGGTTCAATACTTCGCTAAAAATCAAAAGGAAATTCTTTATCCCATATGCTAAAATGACTGAGATAAAACTGCCATAATATAAATAACGTCTGGTAAAGAATGTGAATTGTGTCTACGTTCATGAATTTATGACGAATGCCTTGTAGTATGATATATGCGAAAATCTGAGGAAAGTAGATGGGGGGGGGGGTTCACAATCCTTACATTCCCTCTGCTGAGAGGGACTAACAATAGTTATTAAGTAAATCACTTGATTAATACTAACAATCTCTTCTGACGAAACGAAGCCTGCAGCGTAGTCGAATACAGAAACTAATCACAATTTTGGAGACGTCAGCACTGGTGGAAGACGAAGTAGACGGAGCGGAGAGGTCGTTTGATGCAATCAGTCCATCACTCTACGTGCATAACGACTGATCTTGTACCTAGGGTGACGGACTGATTACATCAAACTTCATCTCCAGCTTCCTCTTCCACCAACGTTGATATCTCCAGAGTGTGTTCATTCAGAAGTGTGTAGCTTGTAAAAAGGTTGGAAATACATGGTAGAATGGGTGGGGTGATTGACCTGATAGTTGTGCTAACGTCGTTGCCTGTTACCTCCCTTAGCAATGTGACTACCGATAGGTTTGATTGGCTTAGCCGTAGACTTGGACCTGCCCGCATGGGCCATAGGCTTCGCAGTGTCTCGTTCTTTGTTCTATGTTCTTATCTCTGTGGTCGATGATAAGCCTACGTAGGCAAACGTTTCATCTATAAAGATCATAGTTATACCTTTGTGATTTCACAGATCTTTCTATCCGAGCCACCATGACCAGTCGTCTGCCTCACCTGCATATGTATAAATTATATATTTACTAACAAAATTGGTTATTCACAATCTCTAAATATCTCAAGAAATATTTTGTATCTTTATAATCCAAAGTTTGGCATGTCTTTTTTTTTCAACAGGACGCTGTGACTTCTACATTGGCAAGGAACAATACTGGCCACTCATTTTCGGTATGATCGGTCGGAAGGGATCCCAACTTATGCCTAAAATCAACGCAGGGTACGAAATGATAACCCAGTGCATAGGTCTTAGTTTGAGTTTAATATGTTTATTATGCATAGGTCCTAAGATTGTTTTTTATGCGTTACAGGTGTGGAGCTTTTCTTTGTGATTTCCCGTCTTCTTTATAAATGATTAATATTATATATATATATATATATATATATTTATATATATATATATATATATATATATATATATATTATATGTCGTGCCGAATAGGCAGAACTTGCGATCTTGGCTTAAATAGCAACGCTCATCTTGCCATATAGGACAAGTGAAAATTTGTTTATGCAATAATTTCGCCAAAATCTTTCTGAACCTAACGAAAAAAATATATTTCACTCTGTTTGTTTAGTATTAAATTATTGTAAACAAATCTAAAATATATTTAGTTGGGTTAGGCTAAAATAAATTGCTCTTGTTATAATAAGGTTAGGTAAGTTTTCTAAGATTCTTTTGGTGCAAAATTATAAATTTTTACATTAACATTAATGAAAAAAATGTATCTTTAAACGTATAAGAGAAAATTTCAGAAAGGACTTAATTTTAAATGAGTTCTTGCTAATTGACCAGTTTTACATATTCGGCACGACATATATATATTATATATATATATTATATATATATATATATATATATATATATATATATATATATATATTCTAAATTTCCAGTGGGTGTAGCACACACTTTGCCTCTTCACGGAATTCCTTCCTTCCATCGCTCAAGTTGTAAAAAAAATATTTTGCCCTTCATCCTTTTCAAATAGCTTTTATGGATTTTTATTCTACCTGGTGTTCGTTCTGATTTTTTTTCTGTATATTTCACTTTAGGTTATTAATAGGCAGTTACGGTATCTCTTCTTGTCTTGTTTTCCAACGGGGTCTTTCTTGAGCCTCGAGTCGTCTTATCTTCCAAAGAAGGTGTTGCCTTCATGATGGGGAAGGGCAGTTGCTCCAAGGAATTAAAGCTACCTTCTCTTTCCTTGGATCATATCTGATTACCTCCTATTCCCGAGCTTCTCCGAGTATAATAATATTCATAGAAATATTAATCTAGAATCGCAGACAGGCGATCTTAACAATGAAAAAAGAGAAGCTAGCTGGCTAGTGTCACCACGTGACCTCACTGAGAAAACTGATCAGTTAGCAAGAACTCATTTAAAATTAAGTCCTTTCTAAAATTTTCTCTTTTACATTTAAAGATATATTTTTTCATTTATGTAAATATAAAAAATAATAATTTTGTACCAAGAGAACCTTGGAAAACTTCCTTAACCTTATTATAACAAACGCAATTTAATTTAGCCTAATCCAACTAAATATATTTTAGATAATTTTTACACTAATTTAACAATAAACGAATACGATGAAATATATTTTTATCATTAGGCTCGGTGATTTTTGCGAAATTATTGCATACATAAATTTTAGCTTACCTTATTCGGCAAGAAGATTATTACTATAATCAAGGGGGAAGCGCTAAACCCGGAGGATTATACAGCGCCTGGGGGGGGATGTGGAAGGCATTCAGGCTTAATTCGGGGACCTGGAGCACAGATCCAATTCCCTAAATCAAGAGCCCCTCGCCAACATCAAGGAACCTTCCTTGAGGGGTCGGCAAGAAGAGCGTTGCTATTTAAGCCAAAATCGCAAATTTTACCTATTCGACACGACATATATACTATAGTATATGCAAAACAATCACAGACCAGCCGTCTCCCACCGAGGTAGGTGGGAGTTGTCCCAGCCACGGTACTGCGTGTTGTCCCAGCCACGGTACTGCGTGTTGTCCCAGCCACGGTACTGCGTGTTGTCCCAGCCACGGTACTGCGTGTTGTCCCAGCCATGGTACAGCGTGTTGTCCCAGCCATGGTACAGCGTGTTGTCCCAACCATGGTATGTTGCCCAGCACGTACTGCGTGTTGTCCCAGCCATGGTACAGGATGTTGTCCCAGCCATGGTACAGCGTGTTGTCCCAGCCATGGTACAGCGTGTTGTCCCAACCATGGTACTGCGTGTTGTCCCAACCATGGTACTGCGTGTTGTCCCAGCCATGGTACTGCGTGTTGTCCCAACCATGGTACTGCGTGTTGTCCCAACCATGGTACTGCGTGTTGTCCCAGCCATGGTACAGGATGTTGTCCCAGCCATGGTACTGCGTGTTGTCCCAGCCATGGTACAGCGTGTTGTCCCAACCATGGTACTGCGTGTTGTCCCAGCCATGGTACAGCATGTTGTCCCAGCCATGGTACAGCGTGTTGTCCCAGCCATGGTACAGCGTGTTGTCCCAGCCATGGTACAGCGTGTTGTCCCAGCCATGGTACAGCGTGTTGTCCCAGCCATGGTACAGCGTGTTGTCCCAGCCATGGTACAGCGTGTTGTCCCAGCCATGGTACAGCGTGTTGTCCCAACCATGGTACTGCGTGTTGTCCCAGCCATGGTACAGCGTGTTGTCCCAGCCATGGTACAGCGTGTTGTCCCAGCCATGGTACAGCGTGTTGTCCCAGCCATGGTACAGCGTGTTGTCCCAGCCATGGTACTGCGTGTTGTCCCAGCCATGGTACTGCGTGTTGTCCCAGCCATGGTACTGCGTGTTGTCCCAGCCATGGTACTGCGTGTTGTCCCAGCCATGGTACTGCGTGTTGTCCCAGCCATGGTATTGTAAATTACATTCTTCCTGTAAATAATTTTGCGTTTTTCCATACATAGTTTAAGGGTCATTTAGGCCACGTTCCACCTGGTCATAAGTACACTTTAATCCCTAAAACCGGGAATAAACTCTACAAGTATATAAAGATGCTGAGAGATAAGTCTTTTCGTATATATCCATGCCTCTTCCCGTATATTTTAAAACTTCCTTAACGATAACATTACCCTACTGAATTATTATAATCAAAACCAAGCGCTAAACCCACTAGGGTCATACAGCGCTGCAGGGTAGGGGGTGTTAAAATTACCCTACTGAGGTCAACCAGATAGAACTGACCCAATTCAACATTATATCTATCCTGTGCGATCGGAATGCGACAGGAAAACATCGTGAACTTTTGTTGTCACTACTGATGTATCCAATTTTGCTTAGTAAGTTTAAAAACACTAGCTCCTCCGATAGGAATAAATGGTATAAATTATCGTCACATTATAATACATTTGTTTATCCGTTATCTCCTCCAAAGACGTTTGCAAACTCAAGATATGTGCTCAGGTATTTCCATTGTGTTCATTTTCCTCACTTATTTTTCATGAAGGGTTTTCCGATATTTGCCCGTATACATTGAATTTATTACTACTACTACTACTACTATTACTACTACTATTGGATCACTACGACAAGGTCCTTGATGCACTAGAAGACAAAAAGAATGCAGATGTAATATATACAGACTTTGCAAAAGCCTTCGACAAGTGTGACCATGGCGTAATAGCGCACAAAATGCGTGCTAAAGGAATAACAGGAAAAGTCGGTCGATGGATCTATAATTTCCTCACTAACAGAACACAGAGAGTAGTAGTCAACAGAGTAAAATCCGAGGCAGCCACGGTGAAAAGCTCTGTTCCACAAGGCACAGTACTCGCTCCCATCTTGTTCCTCATCCTCATATCTGACATAGACAAGGATGTCAACCACAGCACCGTGTCTTCCTTTGCAGATGACACCCGAATCTGCATGACAGTGTCTTCCATTGCAGACACTGCAAGGCTCCAGGCGGACATCAACCAAATCTTTCAGTGGGCTGCAGAAAACAATATGAAGTTCAACGATGAGAAATTTCAATTACTCAGATATGGTAAACACGAGGAAATTAAATCTTCATCAGAGTACAAAACAAATTCTGGCCACAAAATAGAGCGTAACACCAACGTCAAAGACCTGGGAGTGATCATGTCGGAGGATCTCGCCTTCAAGGACCATAACATTGTATCAATCGCATCTTCTAGAAAAATGACAGGATGGATAATGAGAACCTTCAAAACTAGGGATGCCAAGCCCATGATGACACTCTTCAGGTCACTTGTTCTATCTAGGCTGGAATATTGCTGCACACTAACAGCACCTTTCAAGGCAGGTGAAATTGCTGACCTAGAAAATGTACATAGAACCTTCACGGCACGCATAACGGAGATAAAACACCTCAATTACTGGGAGTGCTTGAGGTTCCTGAACCTGTATTCCCTGGAACGCAGGCGGGAGAGATACATGATTATATACACCTGGAAAATCCTAGAGGGACTAGTACCGAACTTGCACACGAAAATCACTCACTACGAAAGCAAAAGACTTGGCAGACGATGCAGCATCCCCCCAATGAAAAGCAGGGGTGTCACTAGCACGTTAAGAGACCATACAATAAGTGTCAGGGGCCCGAGACTGTTCAACTGCCTCCCAGCATACATAAGGGGGATTACCAGCAGACCCCTGGCAGTCTTCAAGCTGGCACTGGACAAGCACCTAAAGTCGGTTCCTGATCAGCCGGGCTGTGGCTCATACGTTGGTTTGCGTGCAGCCAGCAGTAACAGCCTGGTTGATCAGGCTCTGATCCACCAGGAGGCCTGGTCACAGACCGGGCCGCGGGGGCGTTGACCCCCGGAACTCTCTCCAGGTAAACTCCGGGTAAACTACTACATTTGTGTGTCCTGGCGATGTTTTATTTTTAATAAATACTACCAGATCATATTGCCTCTTTGCTCACTGTTGCATCAGTTTATATTCTTCATGAGGTTTGCTTTCACTGTCTCTTATTAAGTGGGCTTCACGGCAGAGAGGCTCTTGATCAAAAAAAAAAAAAAAAAAAAAAAAAAAAAAAAAAAAAAAAAAAAAAAAAAAAAAAAAAAAAACGGAGCTAACCTGCTCAGGATCGGACCTGAACGCAACATTCTCCCAGGTGCTTATTTATACATATAATTTTATTTTTTAAATTTTTACATTGAGATTTCTGTTACACGTTTAACTTTTTTTTTTTTTAATTTTATTGCAATTCCTCCTCCAGTTTAAAAAAAAATCCTATCTCTAAGGTGTCCCGTAGCTTGACTGCTAGCGCACTCAGCTCACACACGAGTTTCTGGGGTCGATCCCCGGTACGGGTGGAAACATTAGGACGTGTTTCCTTAAGACACCTGCTGTCCATGTTCACCTGTCAGTAAAAGAGGTACTTAGATGTTAATCAACTGATGTGGGTCACATCCTGGGACAAAAACTGACCTAATTTGCTCAAAATGCTCTGCGTAACAAGGGGCTTTCTGTATCACGACTCACGAAATCGTAATGACACGATTGCAAACAAACCATACCACGGGCAGGTTCTATCCCCGCCCGTGGTATGGTTTGGCTTTCTGTATAGTACTAGTATGTCATTGATGTTAGCTAGGACTGTATACCTTGTACATGTACTTGTAGAAATAAATATTCTAAATACTGATATTTTTTTTAGAAAAGTGCTTTTTATATGCTCAGTATTTACCTTTGTATTTGCGTCTAAAGTACTAATTCCATCTGTCATCTATGTTCATCCTTCTGTTCTTTAAAAGTCAGTGACATTCTGCAGAATTGAGCGTCTGGTGTCTCAGGACCTATACTTCAAGTGGCTAGGAGATGAGCTGCCCAATGCCACGGCCTGCCTAAAGGCCACCAATCGTGTCACTGTCAACGAGGCTTACCGTCTAATAGGCCTATGGGTGCGTACACAAGCTTCTTGGATATTTACTAAATTTCTAATTTAAGCTTTGGGTACACATGAAAATTTCTTTTGCAATGATTTTGAGAGCACACGAATGTAAAAAGTACAATATTTTTTTTATATGTATATTCAAGAATCTGTGAAGGAACATTGCAACAAGCTTGTTGGCCCATAATAAGCAGGTCTAACTCACACACCTGTCCAACGTATATTTATAACTGCCAAAAGTTTTGGCAGTTCTCAGTGATGCTACCTGGGAATTTATTCCACTCATCTACAACTCTATTTATAACGAGCTTGTTTGGTAGGTGCTGCAAGCGGGTGGTTAATGATACGTCTTCGGAGGCTTCTTTGTTTATTGTTAAGTCGTGGTGGGTACACAGGCTTGTGTGTTTGTGCCCATGGCCCAGGCAGGGCCATCCCACGAGAGAAAGCTGGGAGGCCTTGTGTCTTGCTGCTAGGCCGCTGTGTGAGTGAGGCGGAGGCATGGGCCGGCAGGCTGGCGTGCCTACTGAGAGGCCTGGCTACAGAGGGCAGCACCTGAGTGGTGCGAAATATGAACTAAGCTGGCAGACAGCATGGGCTGTCTGTGCAGACAGTACAGGCTGTCTACATACGCTCGGCCACCTACCGCGCGTCGTCCCGACTCGACAATACTGGTGGTAAAAGAAACTCGGTCTCTCTCTCGTAGGAACAGGGCACAGAACACAAAATAAAAACATATATATACATATGGACATGGAAAAAAAACTTCCTACAGGGAGGGAAGAAAAAACATGTGGGGTGTGCTAAACATCGTGGTCATAGGCAGTGAGCATCGAAGTGCATCACTGCACGCCTTCCTGCGTCTGGACAGATACTGCAACACAGGAGACATCGCTGCGGCTGAGCTGTGACGTAACAGGGTACGGTCTCCTCTGGAACGGTGAAGCAGTCATCGTAGGAGTCGCTGCAGGTTTCACTCAACCTGGGGCACGACATGCTGGTGCCCTCGAGTGAGGCATCGACAAAACTCGGCAACTGGGCAGGACTTCTGGCAAGTGACTCAGGAGGACACTTCTCGACTGGTACTGTCGCTGGGCTGTCACTGCTAGCGAGCGTGGAGCGAGTTGTGGAGCGAGTCGTGGCAGAGACAACTGGGCGAAACATCTGGGAGTCGTAACATCATACACCAGACTGCAGTGTGAGAGCTAGCAGTCAAAGTGACATCTTCTTTGTGCAGGCTGCTCACTGAAGCTTGTGACACGAGGCTGACACAGCGCCTGCTGACAGGGCTAACTGTGGCTTGGCGAGTGTCATTCGGCAGTTGGAGTTATAGCAGAGATTAGTCTAAGCATCCCCAGACTTGTTTCTCTACATATAACTGCACTCTGAAGGTCTGGAGGTGAAGTGAAACAAATCTCGATGGGAATCGTAGCAGGTACGATTCTGCAGAACAACACGAACGACGAGCATAAAAGCTTTCTGTACAAGAGGGCTCAGTCACTCGGGGCTGTCTTGACATCAGCTGTCAAACACACTGGTCACACGGGTGACTTAACACAGTGGTGCTACTCAGGTCTGGCTCAGACCTCACTGGACACACAGAAACTTTACACACCGTGGTACAACATGGCTTAAACTAGCAAATGATGCTTTTCTGTGCATAAAACTGACACTAAGACATATACTAAAATGTGAGAACACTGACTGAGAGGAATTAATTAACACACAACATATATTTTCTCTCAATCTTCTCGACAATATTAAAATAATTACTAGAAACACTCGATGTGACATCATGTGATGTCAGGCGTGATGTCGAGAGGTGACGTCAGCAGACATCTTGAGGTGATGTCAGGCAGACATCGTGAGGTGATGTCAGCAGACATCGTGACGTCATGAAGTCGGGCAGCATCGTGTGTGACGTCGATGTGATGCAGGCAGCAGACCACAGCATGAGGCCTTGGGACATCTGGCTCGGTAACTCACGTGGTTTGTAGATCTACGTGACATCGCCCACACCCACGTGGTGTCGTGATCCACGTGGTGTCATGATCTACGTGGCATGCTGGTCCACGTAGCTTCGAGTGGCCTCGGGCACTTAGATACACAGCTCTGGCAATGAATTCACACAAAAAACAGCAGAAAGCACAGCAGAGGGAGTGGGCAGTGGTGAGTGGTGTATCGTAGTGTGATGGCGAGGAGCGTGGGTGAGTGTATGGCAGGGTGAACATCTGGCCATTCCTCCTCCTCCACCCACAAACACGTGGAGAAGCTCACACTGGACGCAGAAATCGCCACAAAACTCACCTCTGGCTTGCTGAAACAGCTGTGCTGAGCTGAACAACAACAGCAACATACAAGTGACGCTGAACACGTGACTTGAGAAACAGCGTGGGACGCTGAAATGTGGAGTCACTGGGACGCCACTCACAATTCTCGAAGAAATTTGGCAAATTTTGGCTGGATCCTGCTTGTACCTGTGTCTGGATGCGTAAACGTGCAGACACGACATCAGGATAACTCGTTGAGAGATGGATGCTTCTTGTATGGGATGATGAAGTGAAGATGACTTCATCCCTCTTCCTTCCTCGCTTTGGGCAAACACACTGCTGCGACCACCACTGGTACCAATATAACGAGCTTGTTTGGTAGGTGCTGCAAGCGGGTGGTTAATGATACGTCTTCGGAGGCTTCTTCTTTTATTGTTAAGTTGTGGTGGGTACACAGGCTTGTGTGTTTGTGCCCATGGCCCGGGCAGGGCCATCCCATGAGAGAGAGCTGGGAGGCCTTGTGTCTTGCTGCTAGGCCGCTATGTGAGTGAGGCGGAGGCATGGGCCGGCAGGCTGGCGTGCCTACCGAGAGGCCTGGCTACAGAGGGCAGCACCTGAGTGGTGCAAAATATGAACTAAGCTGGCAGACAGCATGGGCTGTCTGTGCAGACAGTACAGGCTGTCTACATATTGCCAAACCAGTACTTCTCTGCATCCTTTCAAAATCTAAATTTCTCCAACTTGAAGCCACTGCTGCAAATCTTGTTTTCGTTAGATTCTTTCATTTATTCCTTTTTTTTTTCATGTGCACACTTCAGTCATGCATGCATCTCCCCCTAATTCTACTTCATTCAAAAGTTAAAACTAATTCCCTACAGCCTATCTTTGTAGGAAAGGTTTCTGACACATGGGCTCAGCCTTTTCTTTATATTCTTACTGTGGAAAATTGCATTTAGCTGAATGTATCATTATATACATAACAGTAAATGAACAAAGATAATTATTATTTATCAGTTAGACAAGTAGGAATTTGGGACACCTAGGTCGCAAAAAATGTCCCCCTTCGGTACCTACCACTGTCATATCCACAAGTTGCTCTGGACCTATTATTAAATGAAATATACATACACCAGGAATGTTGGTAAATATATAAATTTGTGGACTGTATATTAAAAATAATAAATGGTTATATATATACACAATTACATAACAGAAGGAAAATATATCTTAATATCACTCACCAATTTGATTGGAGATTAATGTGTATCATACTCAGAAAACCTCACTCTAACTAAATCTATGAAAATAATGCTGGCCAGAATTACACACAAATCTAGAGAGCTTATCTGAGGTTCCTGGAGAGGTCTTGTCCAGTCGCCTGATATCTCAAGTTATGCAGGAATGCATATCCACCAATTTCGCCTCCTATTTGAGAGGTGTCAGCACAATTTTAACCTCTAGAGCACGAAAAATTCTTCCCCATTCACCAATGTTTGTACAAAATTCAAAACCAAGATGGCGAGTCCCCTGCCCAGACGCAGGCTTTCCGTTTTCTATGACAAATATTATTAAATACAGTATAGGCCATCTATTTACCTATAAATTACCGTATTTCCGGAAAATATATACAGTATTTTCCACACTTACAGTGCATTTATGACCATACTGTAATAGGGAGACCAGTAATGAATAACAATCTAAATGAGGCTTGCCAAAGACATATAAAGTTGAACTATAACCTTAGGACTTTCTATTATGTATTATAATCAAAACTAAGCACTAAACCCACCAGGGTCATACAGCTCTAATATTTATACTTTATGCATTATCATACTTTAAGCACTAGACCCTAAGGGTTAGTGTTACAATACTCGCAAGGGTCATACAGTGCTTGTCTTGGCCTTAAATTTCTGCCGACTAGAAAACCTAAATCTCTTTTTGTAATCATTTTATCCAAGATCTACACTGCCACTTCTCCCATCACATCAGACTATCCAGGTAATTTATTATAGTCCAAACTAAGTGCTAAACTCGTACAGCGCTGCAGGGTAGGGTGTGTTTAAAGGTTTAATATGCTTGATCTAGATTTGCGAGGGTGAAGAGTATACAAGGAATAAGAGTAAGGGCAGTCAGGAATGCTAAAGGAAGTATAATCAAAGTTTGTGTAATCTGTTGCTGTCAAAAAGTCAAACAGGGAGTCTGTGTCAAAGGTGGGACGGTCAATGAGGATGGAAGATAAAAGTAATTATTATTATTATAATCAAAAAGAAGCGCTAAGCCACAAGATAAAAGTAAGGGTGTTAGGAGTGATGAAGTCAGAACTATCCAGGTCATCCTTTAGCTTTCTAGTATTCTCATCAGAAATTTTCTGCTAGCCTTTTTAGTGTCAGTGGCAAACTTTGTATGTTGTTTATTCCCTCATTTGTGTCAATGTAAATTGTTAACAAGAGTCCAAATACTGACCCTCGTGGCACACCATTTGTAATAGGTTTCCATTCTGATCTCTTCCCATTTATGTACTCTGTTACCAATCTGCCAAGACTTGACCCAGGAGATAATTTAGGTCATTGACTGTCTCGTTAGTGGCCCGCTAAAAACCGAGTCATATTGGGACTTGAGTAGCTCACTCATTTCCTTGTGTACGAAAGGTATATAATACCGACAAGATGAGAGTAAGACACATGTGCAACATCTGGGTATCTTTATTGTAGACGTTTCGCCATCCAGTGGCTTTATCCCGCCC